CTCACCTGTTCTAGGCAAGCACTCTATACTGAGCTACAGCCCCAGCTCCTAAAAGAATTCTTAAATATTCTTTTGCATTAATGGTGTTAAATGCTCAACAATTTATGCAATGCAAAGAAAATTCAAGATTTCTTAATAATCACCTTTTGTATCAAGGAAATAGAGTTAGATGACTCATTTTGGAAATATTTATTGTTTAAAAAAAAACAGGGATTTTGCCTGAATTCATAGTGGAATGCTTAGGAAATGCCTAGTAGTATTTATGGGCCATAACATGTCTGTGTTTCCAGCTTTAATGATTAAGAACCTAGGCACTCAGATATACTAGGCAGCAGCATACTGGAGATTAATTTCTTCTACATCATCAACAAAGGCCTGATTTTCTCACAACCAACAATACAGGAATTCAGGAGAGGTAAGAACACTGAGGAACAATTTTGACTATAATACAGTGAAAGATGAATGGACATCATTTGACCCCAAAATCACACTTTTAGAATGTCCAAAACATGTACAGATATAACTTTTCCCCTTGCAATTACTAATAGTAATTCTATAAAATTCTTATAAAAATATTTCCAAGACCAGAATATCAATAGCTGTCATAACTCATGAATATTTATCTAGTTATAATCGTCTAGATAATAATCCTAATTTCTAGATAATACTTAACTGATTAGTACTAACTTACTATTAGTAACAGCAAAAATTACCAAAGTTCATCCAAGACAAAATAGATAGCGTAAGAAGTCTTATTATATCTGTTAAAGTTACTGAATTTGTAGTTTAAAAGCTTCAAACAAAAAAAGCCATCTAAGACATAATGGCTTCTTAGGTGATTTATGCCAATTAAGAAACAATACAAATTCTCCCAAACTCTACCAGAAAATTCAAGAGAAGGGTACACAATCCATCTCACTCTATGAGACCAGCATAACCCTAATAACAAATCCAGAAAAAGACATTACAAGAAGACATCAAGATCCTCAAGGATAAAAAACTCAGAATTCCTCAACAAAGTGTCAGGACACCAAATGCAATAATAACAAAAAAAGATAATACATTATGACCAAATGGAGTTTATTCCACAAATGTAACATTCAAAATATTCAACAATGTCAAATGAGTGAGTTCAAACCTTAGGTTCAGGCAAAAACAAAACAAAACAAAACAAAAAAAAACCTGTACATGATTTTTAATAGCTTTATTCTTAACTGCCAAAAATTGGAAGCAAGCAAGATATCCTTCAATAAGTAAATTAATACACAAACAATGGCTTCACCACACATGGAATATTATTCAGCAATAAAAACAAATGAGCTATTATGATACAAAAAGACATGAAGAAAAACACTACTAAGTATTACTATATGCGTACTACTAAGTGAAAAAAAATCCAATCTAAAAAGGTTATGTGCTGTGTGACTCAAACTATATAACATCCTGGAAAAGGCAAACCAGAGAGACAGTGAAAAGATCAGTGGTCACTAGGGAGTTAAGTGAAAGGGAGGGAGGGAAGGGGGAGGAAATACTAAAACAAGATATCCATACAAGGAGAAACTGCTGAAGAAGAGGAATGGGAGTATCTGAGTAGTTTCAATTATTCTGAAACTGCAGTAAAAAATAAAGTCAATTAATTTTTAAAAGTCAATATAATTCATATTATATTGACTTTTAAAAATAATTCATATTATATTGTATAAATTATTATTATCTTAATAGATACAAAAAAAAGCAAATGAGCATTGGATTAATTTCAAGCTTCATTCATGAAGAAAAAAAAGAAACCTCTCAGCAAACTGCAAATAGTAAGGACCTTTGTTAACCTCAGAACAGGCATCTGAAAAAAATTAGAAGTAACTTTATACTTAATAATAAAAAAACAAAAGTGCTTTCTTCCTAAGATGGGAAATAAGGCAAAAATATTTACTCTTACCACTTTTATTCAATGTTATACTGAAGGTCCAATCCAGTGCAACCAGGAAGGGAAAGGAAATAGAAGGCAAACAAGTTGGAAAAGGAAAAACCAGAACTGTCTCTATCAGCAGTTGACATAATGCCCAAATCTGCAAAGGGCTAGGCAGAACATAAAATACACTGCAATATGGCTGATTAACATTAAAAAAATTAATTGTATTTCTACATATAAGCAATAAGAAACCGGAAATTTACTTTTAGAAGCACATTTATAGTAACCACACAATATAATACACTTCACAATAAATGTAACAAAATATTTGCATAATGTCTACACTAACAAATACAAGTCATATGAAAAAGAAATCAAAGAACCACCAAGTAAAAGTCCTCCAAAAATTAACTCAAATGGATTTTGACATTATATTTAATTCTCTTAATGCTCTTTCTTGTTTCTTGTGAGTAACAAAAATATCTTGTGATGCTAGGTAAATATTATTATTCACATTTTAAAGAGCAAGCTGAAGTTGCTACGATCTAGCACTCACACTACTGGGGTAAATACTCATAGGAAATGAAAACTTATGTTCATATAAAACTCACATGTGAATGTTTCTTGCAGTTCTACTCTTTTTTTTTTCCCAGCCCCAATGTTCTATTTACTTATTGATTGATTGATTGATTGATTGTTGGTTGTTCAAAACATTACATAGTTCTTGATATATCATATTTCACACTTTGATTCAAGTGGGTTACGAACTCCCATTTTTACCGCGCATACAGATTGCAGAATCACATCAGTTACACTTCCATTGATTTACATATTGCCATACTAGTGACTGTTGTATTCTGCTGCCTTTCCTATCCAGCAGTTCTACTCTTAAGTACCCAAACCTAGAAGCAGCCCAAACATCTTTCAACAGGTAAATGTACAAACTGTGGTACATTCATAACAAGGAACACTAGTCAACATAAAAAGGAACAAACTACAGATACATGCAATGAATCTCAAAGGCATTACGTTGTATGGAAGAAACCAGTTTCAAAGGGTTACAACAGGTTATGATTCTATATGTGCAACATTTTCAAAAAGAAAAAATCAAAATGACAGAGAACTGTGGTGTTTGCCATAGTTAGGAATGGGGAAAAAAATCGTAACAGAATATTAGCATGAAGGAGTAACTGAGGGAAAGAAAGGAGTTCTGTATGCTGACTGTGATCCCCTTACATTAATCTTACAGTACATAACCTTTTTATATTACCTTACAGCACATAAACTTTTTAGATTGATTGTTTTCACTTAGTAGTATGCATTTAGTAATATTTAGCAATGTTTTTCTCCATGTCTTTTTGTAGCATAATAGCTCATTTCTTTTAATTGCTGAATAATATTCCATTGTGTGGTTAAAATTTCATTGTGTTCAAGTATATAGAACTGCACACCAATTTAAAAAGTCAATTTTACTGTATTTAATTGGAAAGTAAAAAATTTTAAATAGCAAAAAGAACACTAGAAAAAAATGAGATATTAGTATGAACCAACTAGAATGACTAAAATTAGTAACCATAGCCAGTGTTGATGTGGAAAAACTGCAACTCTCATACATTCTGGTGGCGATGCAAAATGGTACCATCACTTTTTAACAACATCTATAAGTTTACCTGCCATTCCACTTCAAGATATGTAATCAAGAGAAATTAAAGCATATGTCTATTAATAGACATTTATGGACGTTCATAATTTATTTCTAATAGCCCCGAACTGTAAACAATCCAAACATCTATTAACAGGTATTCATCTGTTCATAACAAATTATGAACAAATTATGGCATAGCCATACAGTGGAATATTAGCAATAAAAGGGATAAGCTTTTGGTAAATACCAACACGTGGATGAATCTCAAAATCAATATGCTGAGTGAAAAACCGAGGATAAAAAATAAAACATGCTGTATACTTCCATTTACATAAAATTCTAGAAAATGCAAACTATAGTTTTAGAAATTAGATCAATGGTTGTCTGGGGACAGGAAGCTGAAAGCATCATATTTTTTGCCCTGACAGTTTTAAAAAGCTCATTAGGAAAACAAGTCTAAGATATTAAGTCACAGGAGAAGGCTAGGCAAAACAAATTTGAATGAAAATCGTAAAATACAATTAATGTGTGCGGGAAATAAGTGAAACACAATTTTGAAAAGGTCTTTGTGCTTTTCATTATTACTGTTGTTACTATTTAACTTTCAAACAGGAATACTGAGAGGTGGGAAGACAACTATTTTGCCTGTGATCCCTAAGTCATTAGGCGTCAGAGGGGAGATTTTAATCCAACTTCTTTCACCCAAAACCTGAACACATAAGAGGTTTTGAGGACTGATATAACGTGTGATTTCACCGGAAAGGGACGCTTCCTAACACCCCAGACCACTTGATTCACTACTTGGCATGAATCCTGCACAGAAAGGACACGATTAGAGAGGCAGGCTTCTAAAACTGAGGTCTTAGGACGCAAATTTCCGGGAAAGGGAAGAGGGGCCCTTGAATGATTAGAAGAGAACAGAGTGCACCGATCTACTTCTGACAGATTTTGGTTGTGAAGACACTGACCACGGGGCCAGCGGCAGAGCCAAGGTGCAGAGAAAGTCAAATGGTGAGAAAGAGGAAAACCCTGCCGCTGAACATTACACACCATTCCGCCCTCGTCTCAAGCCAGGCACAGGCTCAGGGAAAGCCACAACCCGCTTCTCAAGCAAAAGACTCTAGAATCCCAGTCTATGTCTCCCAAGGGCCAGAACTAAGCCCTCCGCAGGGGTTCAGGAGCGTGCGCGGTGCTCGCGACGGCCTCAGGGGCTCAGCTGGGAAGGTGCTGCAGGGCAGGGACCGCGAGTTCACCAGCCCTGGGCGCAGCGCACAACCCAGGGTCAGACACCGTGGGGCTACGACACCCTAGGGAAAGAGACGGCGGGGCGGCCCAACTCGGGATTTACCCTCGGTGAGACACTGAGTGTCCCCCGGGAGTTGACAAGACACTCTCACTTTCCCTCATTCACCGAGCAGACAAACGTTGGCCTCTCTCTCGTCTCACCTCTCCAGTTCTTGTACTCCGGGATGAAGTAGTACTTGTTTCCGAGGTGGTCTGTGCCCACGTGTTCCTTCACCTCCTTAGACAGCGCTCTCCACAAGGCGCGAAACAAACCCAGAGACCAACTCATGCCTGCCACTAAGCTCCAGGCTGGAACCAATGCAAATCTGCGGGGACGCTGGGAGTGACGCTCCAGCCGCTGACCCCGCCCACCGCGTCCGAAGAGACCCGCCATCCTCCTTCCGTGAGCCCTCCGAGTAACGGCACTCACCATTGGTCAGGTGGTATCACAGCTTGGCCAATGGGAAGCTCTGCTATTTCAGCTCCTCCTCCGAGCCCTGTCATGGCGGCGTCCAGTGTGCAAGCTGAGGTGAGGAAACGCGATGCTGGGCTTTTTGTCCGCGCGACAAGCGGGTTTGGAAGACCCTATGCGCTTCCAGAGAACGGAGTCCACACGGAGGTAAAGAAAATTTTACGTTTTCCTCTAACCGACCAATTAAAATTTGCCTCAGTGGCTGAATCCTAGAGACGAGGTCGGGGGGCCATGGACAAGAGATGTACTTGGAGTAATTGGCAGAAGCTCGATGGGGAAGAGCCTTGTGTGCTTGCGTCAAAGTATGAAGATGAGAGTAAAGTCACAGATATTCGGTTTTGACTTCTTCTTGAAGAATGGGTTGAAGTTGAGAGCAAGAGTAGGAGTCAATTTAGGTGAATATTGCCCTTGTCCAGAAAAGAACTGATGGAAACCTGGGGCAGGGAGGAGGCAAATGGGATGAAGAAAATGAAGAAGTTTGAAAAATGCCCGAGATAAGCCATGGAAAATATGTGGATAAGTGATTGATGAAAACGGAACAGTCAATAATGATTCCCAGATGTATCCCTTGGGTAGGAAGTTGGATGTTGGTGACATCCTCTAGAGACAAGACGTTCCAAAGGGGAAGCAAGTTTTACTTTTAGTTTTGCCCACATGATTTTGAGGAACCTGAATATATTCACTGAGAGAGTGAAGGACATAGTTGCATATTTTGTTAGACCAGGACGCAAGAAAAGACCACTGACTCCAATTAAAATCAAATTAAAGCAAGCTTATTATTTCGACCGGCCGGACTGCCTTTTCCTCCCAGAACGGCAGGAACAAGACAGCAGCCCCAGCTTTCCGTCAGCCCAGCTTTATAGCCCAGAAAGTTACACAAAAGGGGGGGTTACAGATAACAGAACTCTGACAAGCATCACACTAATGGTAGTTTACATTTTTTGCTGGCTCCAACATCAGAATTTATGAAGACCATTAGAGCCTCAGAGAGGGTCGTTGTCTGGCCAGGGAAGGCCAATATTTATGAGGCGTCACTAAAGTTTCAGAGAGGGCTGCTATCTGGTCAGAGAGCCAGGCATGGGTGAGTTCAAGGCACGGGCAGGCATTCCAAGCAGGTTCAGAATTTGCAGTAATTTATAGTAAAGCCAAAATTAGTTTTTCATGGCTTTGTGGTGAGAGAGCTCCCAATTTAATAAAAGATCAGGTTGGGTTTATTAATTTGAGTTATATGCTCAAGGGAAATTTAGATTTCTTTAAGGTACAGGAAGTCATAAAGAGATAAGATCAGCCAGGCATTATTAAGCTTGCCCTCAACCGCAGCCATTAATTGAGAAACTAGATGAGGGGTGATGGGGGATGAAGAAAAAACAGACACACATAGAAAAAGGTTGGCCCAGGTTGGCAGTCTGATAGAGTTTGACTGACCCAGAGTTAGTTCAGCACGTTTATTATGTAGGTTTCATCAAAAGGTTATTTGTGGGAAATTTTCAGCAAAGCAGGCAATTGGAAGGACACAGGACTGGTGAGACATTAGGGTCATCTTGCTTGAGATTTTCTCTCCCTGGGAGCTGGTGCCTGAGCTCAAGGTTCCCACTGATAACTGCACTTTTGCAGAGTTTCCTTGGGCTACAATCACCATACAGCTAGGCCATCTTGACCTGCACTTTTGCACAGGCAGTTCCCAGCACAAATGCAGCCACCAGAGAGTCAGAAAGACCATTATTTAAGTCACTGCTCTCTTGGGGCTGGGCATGTGGCTCAAGCAGTAGCGCGCTTGCCTGGCATGCGTGCGCCCCAGGTTCGATCCTCAGCACCACATACAAACGAAGATGTTGTGTCTGCCGAGAACTAAGAAAAAAAATAAATAAATGTTAAAAAATTCTCTCTCTCTCTCTCTCTCTCTCTCTCTCTCTCTCTCTCTCTCTCTCTCCCCCCCCCTCTCTCACTCTCTAAAAATAAATAAATAAATAAATAAATCACTGCTCTCCACAAATGGCAAAAATCTAAGAAACATAAGCATTTAAGGTTAGACAGAAGGTGCTGGGAAGTAGCTCAGTGGAAGAGTACTTGCCTCCTATGAGCAAAGCTTGGGGTTTGATCCCCACCCCCAGGAGACAAAAAGATTGGACAGAAGAAGAGAATGCAGATGAACTTTCAAGGAGTAGCCAGTGAGGTAGAGTTAAAACCTCACTGAAGGAACACAGTGTTTAAGGACGGAGCCATCAAATGTGTCAAATACTGCCTGCCCTCTTTGCACTCAGTACTTCCTTTCATATTACTCAACTTTATCTTTCTTTGTGCAATTTATTCCTACTTAAATTGTATTATATATTTTTTCTACTATATCATTGTCTTCTTAATCCCCCAAAGAACAAAGGACCTGTATTCTAGGTCTCAAAAAGGGTTTGGCCCATGATAGAAATTTAATAAGTATTTTGTGAGTGACATACACTCAATAAATATGAGGAATTAAAAGCACATGTTGCATTTAACTGATAGACTAAATACAAATGATCTTGGGAAAAGTAGTTTCAGAGGAATGGTAGGAATAAAAATAAGAGAAAAAAGCAAATGGGTATTGGTAACATTAATGACTTTCTCAAATTTAAATCAGTAGGCAATTAATATTGACAAACTGGGTATGATTCATTCTAATATATCAAAGGAAGAACTCAACTATGCATTAGTTATCAATACCTGGGTAACAAAGTATCCCAAACTTAAATAACTGAAAGATTTGTTATCTCTCAGGCTAAAGATGTCACGAATCTTAACGTATTTTAACTGGGTTCTCTCTCTGGCTCAGTGTTTCTTACGAGACTATATTCAAAATATTGAATGGGGCTGTAGTCATTTCTCAACTGGACTAGGTAAAGATCTGCTTCCAAGTGCACTAAAGTAGCTATTGACAGGATTTGGTTCTTCATTGACATTGGCCCAGACTTCCTCAATTCCTTGCCACATGGTAGAGTAGATCCCAGCATGACAACTGGCTCCTATCAAAGCAAACAAGAAAGCAAGAAGGAATCCAGACTTTTTTTATAATCCAATCTCATAAGTGACATCTCATTACTTTTGTCATATTCTAGTCATCAGAAGTGAGTCACTAGGTCTTGCTCACATTTAAGGAGAGAAAATTACCTAAGGTCATGAATACCAAGAATTAGAGACTTTGGAAGGTCATTTCTAGGCTTTCTGCCACAACTCAGAAATAGACAAAATAATAAATTATTTTAATAGATAATCATAAGTGGTCATTTAGCTATTTTCTACAAACAATTCCATGATGTTTTATGCACTAAAATGTTGTTTAATCTTTATATTTTAGGATTACATGTTTGGTAAATGTTTCAAAATATTGAATGTAATTTTATCTACATAAGTTTTGTTATTGTTGTTTTGTTTTTTTGGTATTGGGGATTGAGCTCAGGGGCACTCAACAACTGAGCCAAATCCCCAGCCACATTTTGTATTTTATTTAGAGACAAGGTCTCACTGAGTTGCTTAGCGCCTTGCCATTGCTGAGGCTGACTTTGAACTCCAGATCCTCCTTTCTCCCAATCCTGAGCCACTGGAATTATAGGAGTGCACCACTGGGCCCTGCAAATCTTTCTTGTTTGTTTGTTTGTTTGAGGCACATTTTGGTTACCTCTAAACATGATTGAAGTTATGTCCCCTGTTGACTTCCTCTCCCTAATCCCATTTAGTGCAGAGATGACTGTAATATATTTTTTCAACTTAGTCATCTACTGTAATGGGTTATATAACATAGAAATGTCCAGAGGTTTTTTATTTAAATGACTGCAAGAATGCAAGCAAAATTTATACCAAAATGTATTTAAAATTTAAATTAAAGAAAATGCCATCTTAGGACAACTTAAGTCAGAATCTCTAGATATGTCAAGTGAGTGAATTTGGCTATTGCCTCATCTTTAATTTCAGCGAAAATAGCTTTAGTCTTAAAAAAAAACAGCATTACTTCTTTTTTCCTATAGTTAAATTTAATAATGTTTAGAGATATTACAATGTCAGAAATAATTTAAATATGTGAGCCACTGAAAAGCTGAGTTTGTCAGTCTTTTAATTCTAAAAAAGTTCTTGATCTAAAAAAAGCAACTAAGTATAAGTCTTTGTCATAATTCTGTGACCTAAACCTCTCATTTCATTGAAAGTACTAAAAGTTCAAAACAGTGAGGAGTCTCTTAACCAGATCACTAGATTAACTTATCTGTAAATGGATTTCATTTCTCTGAAAATATGATTCCCAAATCATAATTTAACCATTTCTGCCCAAAACCCTGTGATGCCATTCACAGCTCTTCTATCAACTGCTTTGTGTACTTATCAAAACTCAGTATTTGTTGCTAATTCCATTAATGTCAGTTTCACTTATTCTTTTTTTAAAATAATTTTTTAGTTGTAGATGGACATGATACCTTTATTTTATTTACATGTTTTTATGTGGTGCTGAACCCAGTGGCTCGTACTTGTGAGGCAAGCATCCTGCCACTGAGCCACAGTCCCAGCCCTTACTACTACTACTACTACTACTTCTTCCTCCTCCTCCTCCTCCTCCTCCTCCTCCTCTTCTTCTTCTTCTTCTTATTATTATTATTATTATTATTATTATTATTTCATTTTAGTGTGAAATATTAATGCAAAAAGAGTTCCTTTTCTTAAAAAAACTAAATGAACCATTTATGAAATATTCAATCCAAACAAATGACTTAAAACAAAATGCTATTCAAAAAGGAATGATATCTTACAAATGATGGGAGCTGATAAAACTTTTTCAGAATATTACAGTCACCTGAGGTGGTTGCAAAGCATGTTCATGCCAGCGTTCCATATCCAGAGATTCTGATTAAGTTGTCCTAAGACAGCAGAATTTTTTAAAGCTACCTAGATTATTCTAATGTATAGCTAGGATTAGAATCATTGCTTGAGAAAGATTCCACATTCACCTCTTTGCATATGTCTTAGATTTTCATTCCACTAAAATAAATTGAATAAATTTTATCCAAACCTAAAAATCATGGAATATGTATAACATGGGTATATTTTGAAAAAAGAAATATTATACTCAGCACATTAAATCTGCTTCAAACAGTTGACATATATGCAGGTAGTGCTCTCTTTGCACAGTAGTGAAAGTCTGTAAAACTGGCTGTGTAGCCTTACCTCTGCAAAATGTTCTTAATCAGTGAGAAAAATTGCAATTTTGTGATCTTTAAATTTTTTTTGCCAGAATACTAAAAATTTTATTACATTTATGGTTACAAATGTGTAGGAAAATGAAAATAGTAAAGCTAATAACTTAGCACATTGTAATGTAAAATAGTGTTAGAAACAGAATCAAAATTATTTGTTAAAGAGAATATTTATTGAGTAGTTACCTTATTAAAAATTATCTCATTAAAAAGATATGTATTGAGTTGTTTGAATATTGCTTGGCCTTTTTTTGGATTAATAATTTTGCCTTTTCTCATTTTAAAACTTAACCATTTGAGGTGAGGATCTTTTTCATTTGGATCAGATTCCAGCATTTTATCTTTTATATCTTTATTGTGAAATAGCTCTGAGAATTCCTTTAATGTGAAGTTTTTTTCTTTTTCTTTTTGTTTCCTACACATCACTTTCTCTGGTTGTTAGGGGCATACAATGTTCATAATTAACACCCTTTAGAAATATTTACAACTTCATTGAGGTACAATTGACATACACTTGTACAAATGAATATAAATTATTGTGTACAATATAAGTTTTGACATATATATACTTTTGAAATCATCACCATAGTCAAGAGAATAAACATGCTGTGCACAATGACACACACCTGTAATCCCAGTGACTCAGAAGGCTGAGTCAGGAGGCTCACAAATATGAGACCAGCCTCGGCAACTTAAAAAAATAAAAAGGTCTGGGGTTGTAGTTCAGTGGTAGAGTCCCCTTGGGTTCAGTTCCCACTACTGTGGGGAGAAGAAGGGGGAGAGACAGACAAAACTCCTTAAGCCTAAAAATTTTGTTGTGACGCTTTGTTAATTCCTCCCTACTTCCTCATCTCCATCCTCTTCCTACTTAAGAAATCACTGATCTGTAGATTAATTTGGATATTCAGAATGTTGTATAAATGGAACATTTTTTGGATGGTCTCTTTCACTTAGCATAATTACTTTGAAATTTCTCCATGTGTTGCATTTATCAATTACTTTTTATAGCATAATTTGTTTTCTCCATTCGCTTGTTGATGGATACTAGAATTGTTTCCAGGTTTTAACTATTACAGCTGATATAAAAATTCTTGTACCAGTCTTTGTGTGGACATACACTTTCATTTTTTCATGGGCTAATACTAGTAGTGAAATAAGAATATTTTAACACTTTTTAAGAAACTTAAAAAGTTTTCCAAAAACAGTTTATATTCTCACTGGCAGGCATGAGAGTACTCATTGCTCTACATCTTTACCCCCGCCCCTGCCTTCTTAGGGGGTTGTTTGAACATTATTTAGTGTTGCATTTTAATTTATCTTGTGATTTTTTACTATATTTCTTCATTTATATGTAAAGTTTTGTGGGTGCTTTAGGAATTATAAAATATATACTTTTCATTGTCTACTTATCCTTTCACTGCTTTCTTTGGCATATAGAAACTTTGTTACCCTTTATCTGTCACCACTGTCTGTTGTGTTATATATCACATTTACAGATATAATAAACCACATCAGTCAATGTTATAATTTTTGTTTTAACCATCAAATATTGTAAGAAAAATATCAGTCTATTAACCTAGATAGTTAACATTTCTGTTGTTTCTTCATTGCTAATGTCCCAAGTTTCCTTCTTATACCGTTTCTTTTCTATCTGAAGATTGTAGCTGATCATTTTTTTAGAGTAGATTTAGTAGCTTCATGGTTTCTGAAAAGAAATCTGCAGTCATTCAAATCACTTTTTTTCTCTAGAAAATTTGTCATTTTTATCTGATTGCTTTAAAGAGCTTGTCTATAGCTTTTATAAGTCTGATTATAATGTGTCTGGGTATTGATTTCTTTGGGTTTATCATAAGATTTATTGTGTTTCTTAAATTTGTAGATTTTTCTCTGGCAAGTTGTATATTTTCAAACATTTTGTTTCTTTTTTCAGTATATTTTCTCCTATTTTTGGAATTCCAGTGACATAAACATGAGTCCTTCTAAATTGTTTCATTGGTTCCTGAGGTTCTGTTCTTCCCCACCCTCCCACTATTTTCCCCCCTGTGTTGTTAGGGATGGTATAATTTCAGTTCATCTATCTTCACTGACTCTTTCCTCTGTCAGCTTCATTTACTATTGAGTCCATTAAAGTGAAATAATTTTATATTGAGAAGTTCTAAGATTTCCATTTGGTTCTTGTATACTATATATTTGCTGAAACTTTTTATTTTAACATTTGCGTCAAGTGTGTTTACAATCTGTCATGCATGAATTTTGTTGTGACTCACTTAAAGAAGATAATTTCCCAAGATCATATCATCTCCTTTGTCTTCTATTGTCTTTTCCCATGCAAGTTTAAATTTTCATTGTGCTTCATGTGCAATTTTGCATTGCATCCTGGATATTTTGAATATTGTTATGAGATTCTGAGTCTTGTTTCAATCTTATTATGATGTTTTAACAGGCAACTAGCAAGATGAAATTCAGTGTCAGTTCAGTGTTCAAAGCCTTTTCAGATCTGTGTGTCACTCAGTGGTCAGTCTGTGACCTAAATGCTAGTTAGTTGAGATTCCAAAATCTTTCATATGCTATTCAGTGTTAAATCCATGCATGTTCCATTTAGGCATGAGTCCAGGAGGTAACTGACAGTTTTATTTCCTGGGTTCCTTCCTCTCTGTGGTTTTGCTGATTGATGTTTTCCACCACTCTGGTACTGTCTTGTTTTGTCTTCCAGCTAGAAACTTTGGATTATACCACATAACTTCTGCTCTATGGTTTAAGGTTTGACTCAAGTGAAAAGACAGGTACAAAGCAATAGGTTTTGGTCCCACCGTCTTGGGATCAAACCTCTGATAAACAGGGAAAATTGACTTTATTTTAAAAAGCTTAATTGTTGAATTTAACACATTTGTTTTGTTTTTCTTCTATAAGAAACGCTTAAGAGAATTTTTTTTAATCCTGTAATTTAAGCTTTTATTCACTAGATGTCCTCAGTAAAGTCTTAAGTTTTCAGAATTTTTGTTCATGAAAAGTTGTTTCATTCTTTTTTTAAAAAAACTTTAAATAAACTGGTTAAAGTTTGGGATGATGATTCAAGTGAAAAAAATTACCTGTAATTATTGATACTTTAAAATTTTATACAGTATCTTAGATCTCTAATATAAGTATGTGATATGATAGATTTAAGCATTAGCTATGATTTTTGTATTCTATATCACCTTGGTGAAATACGGAATTTGTTTATGTGTAATTACTTTCTTATTGTTAATTTTCATCTTTCTTTTTTCTCCTTCTAATTTTTAAAGGGTTTTGGGACTGGAGTTAAACAAAGACAGAGATATTGAAAGAATCCATGGAAGTGGAGTTAACACCCTTGACATTGAACCTGTTGAAGGGAGATAGTAAGTTGATTATATGTACATTATCACTTTTCTAAATAAGATGCAGTAAAATCTTGCTTTTGCAGATTAATATGAAGAAGCTTCCTAAAAATAAGTAAAAATTCTAAATTGTAACATTTTTTCAATGGCATTATTAAATTTCAAATAAATACAGGTAAAGTGTTGCCAAATAGACATTTCAAAGTTATCTTAAATCAACAACCATTGAACTTCTTTGGATTCAGAGGGCTTTTAAGTGCTGGAATGTGACTTTAGATATTGTTTTAAAACACAGTAAAACTGTATTTTGGAGAATTAAGTTTGAACAAACAGGATGTTTGAGTTTCTCCTGGCTTTATCACTTATAATCTTTGTGACCTTAAGCAGTTTACTAAACTTTCTAATTCTCATTTGCCTTAGCTATGCAATGGAAACAATAATACTTATCTAACAAGTTTGTTGTGTGGATCAATTAAAGTAATATATAATCAAAAGCAGTATCACATATACTTTTATTCTTTTCAATACATCACCATATAATAGCTGAAGTCCTTTGAAAAATCCAAATCTGAACATATTCTCCTGACAACTTACCATGACACAATCTTTCTCTTATACGAAAATTCAGGAGTTGGGAGTATAGGTCATTGATAGAAAGAGCAGAAACCTAAAATTCAATCTCCAGCACCAAAAAAGAAGGAAAAAAAAAGAGGCTAAAATACTTCCTATGGTATATAATTAGACTATATATAAAAGTAAATAAAAATAGTTTGTTATGTTTAATATTTGCCCCATAATTTTTATTGTATAATGAAGTATTATTATTTATATTAAAATAATTTGGATAGGTTTCATAAACTTCTGTTTTTTTCTTCCAGCTTCTGCCATGGTTTCACCTCATAGTACATGAGAAACACATGCAAGGAACAGGATTCTCACTTTTACATGCGGTTGAATTTAAAACATAATCAGCAATAATTGTTTTCTTTTTCCTGGTTCTTTCAGGCTCACTATAACACTTCCTATTTAAGAACAGCTATGTGACACTAACTTATAAAATGTATACAGACATGGGAAGCAAGGGATAGCTGATTTCTTTTGGATTGGGGTTCTAGTGGAAAGAATAAATATTCATTACTATTACTCCAGCCAGCCATTTGGCATCATGATTATTTGTATGACCTATGAAGTGTATGAAGCCAGTTGGCAGTGGGAAATATGAGAAATTCTAGATTATATGTACATGAAATATGGTTGAGAAATACAGGCTAAGGAATCTTTTCATAGAACTTAGAGAAAAGTTTGAAGACTTGCTACAGTGTTGTTCCCCTTTATTATATAATAAAAATCTATAACTGTTTGTTTTATTGTTTACTGAGATTTACATTTTGTCTTAAATACTTTTGGTAGCAAAAGATAAATAAAAAGGATTTTTTTCTGAAATATTTTTTACTTGTTGATGTACCTCTATTTTTTATTTATTTATATGTGGTGCTGAGAATCGAACTCAGTGCCTCACACATGCCAGGCAAGTACTGTGCCACTGAGCCACAGCCCTATCCCCGAAAAGGATTTTTCTTAAGACAATGAATGTATATATAACTTGTCCAATATCTGTTAATATTTATCATCCACTATGAGCACTGTAGGGATAATCACTGAAAACCATAAAATACCAATAAATATTTTAAGGTGCTATTTAAAAAGACTATCCAAAAATTACATTTTGTTGGGTGCAGTGGCACACACCTGTAATCCCAGTGGCTCAGGAGGCTGAGACAGGAGGATCACAAGTTTAAAGCCAGCCTTAGCAATGCGAGGCACTTAGCACTCAGTGAGACCCTGTCTCTAAATAAAATACAAAATAGGACTGGGGATGTGGCTCAGTAGTGGAGTGCCCCTGAGTTCAATCCCTGGTACCCCCCCCCAAAAAAAAATCAAAAATTACATTTTAACAGCTTCATCTGCAGAAGATATATTTGCATATTACTCTTACATTTGCATATTACTCCATTATATAGCCTTTATATCAAAACCTGTTCATGAAGTATCCCCATAAACCCAAAATATGAATATGTGGGAACAAACACTGATAACTATAAGACTATATGGTTTCACCATTTGTGCTATGACTGACAATCAGTCAAAAGCTTAAATTTTATTTTATACCTTCTAAATTCTTCTAAATTGATTATATTCATCTAACAGTTAAGTAAATAATGTTAGTGCCATCAAATACTTCAATTATAAAGTCACTTAATGGTAATGGTTCAGTATTTTCATCCAAATAATAAAATCAAAGGAAAACTTCCAGACGCCATTCTTACAAAAGTAAAACAACTGACATAAAAGCCATTTAAATTCAGTTAAGTTCAACTTTAAAAATAATTGTTTTTCATTGATGATACATGATACACTTGCAATGCCATAGTTAAAAACTAAGTTTCACAAAGTTGAAATATTTCTGCTTCATACAGCAGAAATATTTTTGGAATTAGTTGTGGCACACATTGTGGTAACTCTGTAGTTGTTAAGTATACAAATTTTTCTTCTTTATATGCCATTAGAGTAAGTGAATCACTCAGTGTTTCTTAATAAAGTTAATAACATCAAATAGTTTTAAAGTTAAGCATGACACAATTTTCTGTCTTGCCATGCTACGCATAATCAATTAGATTTGAGAACTCTTTGAACCTTTGAGGAACTACTTTTAAACCTAATTATTCTACAAATTGTTGAATTATTTTTAAACAAGTCTATAAATCAGTGTATGCTGCTAGTTCATCAACTATTCATAACTGGTTTACAACAAGACACAAGGAGCTTATACCAGAATGTAAGTTTTCTACATCACTAAACAAACAGTTTAAAAGAGATAAGTTTTATTGTTATTTGTTTGTTTTTCGTTTTTTAGCAAGACCTTCTCAGTGAAGAAAGCTATATATTTGTTTTATGAGAGCATATTAAGTAGCACTGCTCTGTTTGTATTTTGTTCAAAATCAGATAATCTTTTAATCGACATATTCAGTGATAAAATGCCAAAAAACATTTATAATATTTGTATCAAAACCTGGTCATGAAGTATCCCTATAAATCCCAAAATGTGAATATGTGGGGGAAAAACCACTGGTAACTATACAAGACTGTGTGGTGTCAGCATTTATGCCGTGGCTGGGTTGGGAGTCAGTAAAAAATAATGGGGCATGTTATAAGTCCAAATTAACCAGTGGGTAGGTTGAAAGCTTAGCAAGCCAATTCAATTACAGTGCTGAATCTGGGAGAGCATGGCATACATCATTTGTATGTAAATTGTGCGTAAATTCAGGGGATCCATAGTAAGATCAGAAAGAGGTAGAGCAGTCTGGGCTTTATAATTGCTCCAAAGAGCTAACAGGTCAAAAAACAGAACTCTCCAGAACAGAACCCTACACTGAGAAGTTTCTTCGAATAGAATCCAAATTGAACTGTACATGGACAATAGAAATCCAGGGAAACGATGATCCAAATAAAATTTTTAAGTGAACAGAACCAAGAAGGCTCTGAAAATAACCTCCCATTTTTTAACATCTTACCAAAGGGGAGGGGGTAAAAGAGGATGATACAAAATTTAAACATTATTCTAAACCAAACTTCCATTCTAAAGGCTTAAGAAAATTAATTTTATAGAATGAACAAAAGAATAGCATTAAAATCAAGTTTCGTGCAAAATTATTTAAGAGCAAAGAGAATAAGTAGAGTAGTGCCATAACTGACAATGCCTGAAAAGTATTGTCATAACACAGACCATAATAATAAGTAAATATTTCAAAGCTGACCAAAAGTCATTTTAAAATCTATAATCTATGAGAGAATTACATCAATTAAAAAAACAGAAATGAGATGATCAAACTGAAGAAAAATTAGAAATAAAAGAATTTCAAAAATGAAGACGAAAGCATTGGAACACAAGCAAATGAATACATGAAATAAAGGAGGAAAGGAGAAAAAATTTAAAAAGAAATGAAATAAGGAAAAGAATTTAAAAGGTATCTTCATATGAGAATGCAGGCCAAGAAGATCCAGCATACATATAAGTTCCCAGAGAAGAAAACCAAATCAAGAGAATAGAATAAATATTAAAACTAAAATTCAAGTAAGCTAATACCCCCAAAATACAAAAGCTGAATTTTCTCTCTGATATGTGGATGCTAACTGACAATAAGCGGGGTGGGGGTAGGGAAGAATATAAGTATTTTGGAATACATGAAGGGGAAAGGAGGGGAAATGGGAATTGGAAAGATAGAATGAATTGGACATTACTATATGAATACATGACCAATGTAATTCCACATCATGTACAACTAGAAGAATGGGAAATTATACTCTATAAACATGTCAAAATATAGTCTGCTGTCTTATATAAGAATAAATTTTTTAAAACCCTAAAATTCAAGAAAACTTTTATAAATAAGATGAAATTATATGTAAAGGGGAAAGCTATAACTGGACTTTGACTTGGAATTTTATGCTAAAATAACAAGTTATTTTTATCTTAAGATGCTTAAGAAGTTTTTAATCTAGCAAAACTGATTTACAAGTACGAAAAGACGTTATTAATAAGGACATAGCACTTCTTTAGGAATCTGTCAGAGATGAAATCAGACAACCAGAATGACTAGTGGGGCAGCAACATAATGATTGATAATATTGATGAATAGCAAGACTTTATGTAAGCATATAAATTTGTGGATTTAGGTATTGGTTTGGTATCTAATATCATATCACAACAAAGATCAGTGACAGATAAAGATCATTTTCAATTCGTACCTAAATTCAGTCATCAAAATTTAGGCTAGAAATTGCAGGTAACTGATTTGGTTTATTCAATAAATTGCAAGAAAGGGCAAAAATAGATGGGAGAGAAGGTGAATTGGAGACCCATATTAAAGGTAAATATTTAATTTTTTTAAAAAAAGTAAAACTAGTATTAATGGGTATACTCTTGAGTGATAATATGCAGAAAAAAAGGCAACAAGTACTAGAATTCATCATAATGAGTTACTTTGGAAAGGAGAAAAAAGGATAGATTTGTGATTGGGAAAGATCTTTATTTTTTGGAAGTTTGAGAATAGTCTTTTGTGGTCTCCTGTTTTAGTTGGGTAATTTTATATTTTAATAATAATAGATAAAATTCAGAATGTCTAAGATTTTGCAATATTTAGATTTGCTTCCAAGGAGGCATAAAATAGAGAACTCCCTTGAAGAGAGTTTTATCTTGTTTTTTTTTTTTTTTTTTAATGCCACACACATTTGTAGAGGCAGGAGGGTTGCAAGTTTAAGCAGCCTGAACAACTTAGTAAGACCCTGTCTCAAAATAAAAAATTAGAAGGGCTGGGGATGTACTCAGAGAGGAGTACCCTTGGGTTCAATTTCCAGTACTGGGAAAGAAAAAAAAAAAGGTACATGAAAAGATGTAAAAAGACATATTTCAGTATATAAAAGAAGAATCAAGAATATTCTCCATTTTGCAGAATTTTCTCTGAATTTACCATATTCTGCCTATTATTATTATCAAAATTGAAAATATTAAGCCTCAGGAAAGTTAATTAAAGGTAGCACAATTTCACATTCAAAGATGATTTCAGGCAGTGTTATAAAAGAAAACATAAGACTATACTGAAAAGTACCTAATTCAAAAAATATGTAAGTAGCACATTTTTAAGGACAGGTAAAGGCAAGAAACTGATTAAAGTATATGAAGTATCAAGAATAATATTTTAAAAGTTATTTTAAAAGCTAAATTCAATCAATATAAAGGGTTTTAGTGTATATGTTTATATATTACTTTTACTTTTTTAGAAATTGTTTTACAAAGCTTTTGAATAGAATAGTTTTTAGGTTCTGCCAATGTAATAAACCTGATTGAAAGAGGTAAATGTTTCCAGAAACATTTTGTCACTCTCTTTTACTCTCAAAAATAAGGCTCCAAGTTGTCTGCCCCCATTGACCTCTCATCTCATTCCACTCTCCCACACTTCTCCAGTGGCACATCCTTCTTTCAGTTTCTGAATGAGCCTGAATTGTTACTTTCATATACCTGTCTGGCTAACTCTAATTTCTTCTTTAGATGCCAGTTGAAAATTACAATCAGATGGTCTACAAACAGTCCTTGAATCCTCAACCTAGAATAAAAATAAGTTATTACCCCTGTTATTATTACAACTAATAATTTATGTGAGGATGTCTATTACCTGTCCTACTACATTGTAACTCCATGAGGACAGGAACCATGCCTGTCTTATTTAATTGTATTAACAGGATGCCTTACATAGTTGCCCAGTTGAAGTTTAATGTATACATTCATAAGAGAAGGAAGGAAACTACCACTGAGCTATCTCCCCAGTCCTTTTTTTTTTTTTTTTTTTTTTTTACTATGAAACAGGCTCTTACTAAATCACTAAAGCTGGCCTCAGATTTGCTATTTTTCTTTCTCACCCTCCTGAGTCATTGAAATTACAGGCATGCATCACCACACAGAACCCAAATTTCTTTTATAGTAGTTTCCAAAAAGGATGAGGATATAGCTCAGTTGTAAAGTAACCTTGATTTAATCCCTGTAATTCCCCTTCAAATAAAAAAGAAGAAAAGAAATTTAGTATTTTATCATTACATCAAATTTGTGATTTAGGTGAAATTCCCAGTGTTTTTACAAATGTTGAAAGACTTAGACAGGTTATTTAATGTACCCAAGCTCCTATAGCTAGAATCGGTAATAAATGGTCTATTTTGATACATTTTCATTTAGCACAGTTGTAATTAGGGCATTTGAAACAGCTTCATAATATTTTACTTTTTTTGTAAGAATATCCTTTGCCATATTATTTCCGACATCTTTTCTTTTTTTTTGGAATCCTGAAGATAAAAGTTAAATGATCACAAAATTGAATTTGTATTTATTTATTCTTTTACACATTTTAAGAAAATTAAGTTTATTGAAGTCTTGAGTTAGTAAGAATTAAATATGATCTTAATACATTTGAGTATTTGCAGATCAATTTTCAGAGATATACAGTTCTCCTAAATAAAAGAAATACATAAAATAATGAATTAATATGAATTTTTTTGTTATCAGCATGTTATCAGGTGGTTCAGATGGTGTGATTGTACTTTATGACCTTGAGAACTCCAGCAGACAACTTTATTACACATGTAAAGCAGTATGTTCCATCGGCAGGTGTGTATTAAAAATCTGATACAAAAGTTTGTAAATAGTTGGGTATTTTTTGCACCAAATGTACAGCATGAAAATAGTAGTCATATGAATGGCTCAAGTAAATTGTTCAAATGACATATTTACGTGTATATCCCTTGATATGTTCTTGAAAATAACTGAAATTCAAATACAGACCTTTTTTTAAAACTTTTTTTTTTTTTTTGGTACTGGGAATTGAACTCGGGGGCACTCAACCACTAAGCCACATCCCCAACCATATTTTGTATTTTATTACACACAGGGTCTCACTCAGTTGCTCAGCGCCTCGCCATTGCTGAGGCTGGCTTTGAACTCGGGATCCTCCTGTCTCAGCCTCCTGAGCTGCTGGGATTACAGGCATGTACCACCATGCCCAGCTTAAAAACATTTTGATTGTGTTTTTTTTTCCCTCTACTTACAGAGCACATCTGAATAACTACAGTTTTTAGTGCCATTTAATGTAAGATTCAATTAGGAGTCTTTCAGCTAATTATAAATGTAAAGTAGGCTTGTTTCAGCTGATACTAGTGAAATAAAAATATTAAGAACTAGATATAGGACTGAGGATATAGCTCAGTGGTAGAGCACTTGCATAGCATGTGTGAGGCCCTGGGTCCAATTTCCAATACTGCAAAAATGAGAAGGAATTTTAAAAAAAAAATGAAGAGCTAGACATAACAAATATGTATATACTCCCTCACCAAACATACAGAGACACCCATACACCATTCCTTTGTCTCTACTTAAAGATGCTTAACATATAAACATATTTCTATTTGTCATCTCTAGTGAAAATTGTTTTTAAGAATCTAATAAACTTTTGTGGCTGTGTGGTAGTTTTTTCATAATAAGCATTTGATTTTGTCTCATAAAATTTATCTGAGCAGAACTTTGCATTAAAAGAAGGAATTGGTACTGAGAAAATGCTTCTGAGAGGACAAAGTTCAGATACATTAACATCAGCAACCCGTCTGTATTAAAGCTGTTTCAAACTACTATAGGCTCTGAAATTCATGTATGTTTATGAGACTGACAGTTGTTTCTGTGTCTGGTGCTTCACTTTAGAAATACACGCTTAAATGACTCAAAAGTCATCTCTCTCAGGTTCAGATTATTTTGGTTTAGAGCTAATTACACTTCCCTGTCATTTTTACAAAGTTTCTGTGATAAATGAAATATTTTTTGAAAAGCATGTTGAAAACTGTAAAAACAACTGTAAGTGAAAAAGCAGTAAAAGAACAAGGTATCACCTCAAATACTCTGGAACTTGATTTTTTAGGAGGCACAGGCATAGGCAACATTTACACTCACTCCCACCCTCACACTTAAACATACATATCTAAATTCCAAAGTGTATGATGTTATATTACTTTTATTTTTTATCTTTATCTTAACTAACATTTTAACATTGTTATATAGCAAAATTGCATGAAATATAATATGCCATATAATGTTTTTCTGTGGACTATGATCTGATTTTTTGGTATGTAACAAAAGTAAATGCTTTGTAGGTCATTGTATTGTTTTATTATGACTTTATTCTTGGGTTCAAATCCTATGTTAAACATATGACTTTGAATTTGAGTATGGGCATATAATGAGCATCTTCACAAAATGAATTCATATTTCATCTTTACACTAGGAATGTTAACAATCTAATTATTAAAAAATGATTTAAATAAAACTCATCATATTTTATGTGGCTTAGACCATTTTCTGATATTATCTGTATGCTTATTATGTTTGTTTTTCAGCACTAAAAAGATTCCTTTATCAAAGTTTTTATTAAATGTGAATAACAAATCACATATAATAAGAGAATAATATGGTATTTTGTCTTATTTTAAAATTTACATTGAAAATATAAATTAGCTTTTATTTGTGATGTTATGTGTTATTATAGTAAAGATTTGTTTCATTTAAAACAGTTGGGCTGGGGATGTGGCTCAAGTGGTAGCGTGCTTGCCTGTCATGCATGCGGCCCGGGTTTGATCCTCGGAACCACATACAAACAAAGATGTTGTGTCCGCCAAAAACTAAAAAATAAATATTAAAAATTCTCTCTCCCCCCCCAACTCTCTTAAAAAAAAAAATCATACCAGAGGAACAAGTTAGTTTGGGTTTTGCTATATGTTGCCAACACTGACTCAATTCCACAGATATGATTAATGGCTAACTCTCCTGGGGATTTGTATTAGTAATTTGAGTTTTAGAATCTCAAGTAGACTTGATAAAACCCAGGACACATATCCTTGCCCTTGATGCCAACGGGGAGAAAACAGAAATCTGGAATCCTTTGCTTTCTGTAACAAAAGGCAAGACCTTGCTTTTCAACAAAACAAAGGGGTTCCCCCAAACAGGAAGAGTTTGAATGCTTAGAATTCATGGAAAAGGGTGCATATCTACTACCATTCACCTATTTGACTGCCCAACATCCATTTACATCTTTCTTCCCATACTTACCCTTTTTAAAAAGAAGTTCCACTCTAACCCAATGCACTGTTCACTATAAAACCAAAGAATCATTCTCTTCCACAAAGAGTTATGATCCTGAATGTATTTAGTGTCGTATCCAGCTCCAGCTCAAGGTAATATCTGATTTTCCACTATCATTATATGGCCCTATATTAGTGTTATATATCCTATGGACTTGATTATATAGTTAACCTATGTAAAATAATGGAGGTAAAAGAAGCAAGGGGAAATTAGTTGAATATATAAGTATATATATAATAGAGAATATACGGAAATATGGGTAGATAGTACAGTCTTTGTATTTTTACAGCTGTTTTAAGGCCTGAGCTAGCATTTGTGACTTTGCTTTATGTTCTCTTTCCTTCAGTTGGCACCACAGATGTTCAGTATTGGGATGCAGACCTTCATCTTAGAAATCAGAGCCCGCAGTGGTTCTGTCTGCATGAGGTTGCAGTAGTCTTCTGTTAACTTTTGTTTTGTTGTAAGAAATTTTTCATGTATACAAAAGTAGCAAATAATATAATGAATTGTGTCCCATAACCCAGCTCAACAACTATCATTAGGAAGCAATCTACCCCATACCTGTCCACCCTTGGGATTATTTTGAAGTAAATCCTAGAAAACTTTTCGTCTATTTGTTTTCATGTATCTTTGAAACACAAAGATTTTTATGTAAGCATAACCTCAGTCTCACTCAATAATTCCTGGTAGTAAATATTTAGTCAATGTTTAGATTTCCTTCATTGTCTCGTAAGTCTCTTTAACAGCCAGTTTGCTTGAATTAAGATTCAATAGGATAATACACATAGTGTGTTGATTACTAGTTCAGAGCATGGACTGACTTCTTCAGGCCAGCACTACCTACTGAATTGTTGCATAACATCAATAACTGAATCTTTGATGATGCTTCTATGGGTAATGTGTTACATAAGTTATTAGTGAATCCTGTGGCCATCCACTAATTGCAGTCTTTTTATCATAAAGTAAGTTCCTTAATAAGAAGCAATATTATGTGGGATACCATGCATGTGTATGAGGCATTCGATTCTAAAAATGGTAGTACTGATAGAGGGTAACTCGAGAAACGTAAATCTAAAACCAAAAGAGATCTCTTCTAGTAAGGACAAACCACTGCCTGTACCAAGATGGAAGAAGTCCAGTATAGCTAGCCGATCCCTCCAGACTGTACATAATACAACAATAGGAAGTTGCACATATTTTGAATGTTAGGAGGAGGCAGACCTCCATGTCATACCATGGAAGCTTGAATCTAGAGATGCCTGAACATTCTTCTTTCCTTCTGTTGTACAGGCATGTCACAGGCATATAGATGTGTAGCTGTAACAATTCATTTAATCTTACCTGAGACTGTTCCTTGTGGTTAATATAGTCTCAGTTTTGAAATTCATGTTATTTCTAAATGTTGATTACTGTTTTGTAGAAATCATCCTGATGTTCACAAGTACAGTGTGGAGACTGTTCAGTGGTATCCTCATGACACTGGAATGTTCACATCGAGCTCATTTGATAAAACTCTGAAAGTATGGGACACAAATACATTACAAGTAAGTGCAATGAAACCTCTCTGAAGATGCTCTGTAGATGAAGAATTTAATCCTAAACCATTTTCATGTGACCGTGTGCTAAGGGGTCTTGCATGTTCTATGTAAAAGCAGTGGAGTGGTTAAAGGGAGCTAGACTACTTGAATTTATCTCCTGGCTCTGCTGCTGACTAGCTGTATGACACTGGGCAAATGTCCAAACTTCTGTGTTTCTCCGTTTTCTCATCTGTAAATAGGAGTAATGATGGCACCTTATAGTATGGATTTAAGGATTCAATAAGCCAGTGTATGTAAAGTATCTAGAACAGTGCCTAGCATATGTAAATACTCAAAACCTGTTGGCTGTTATTTTTATTGTTTGAAAACTATTGTGTTCTTGTGATCTAAAGAATAAAATTGGACTTTTTCAACTATCAATCTAAAAGCTTAAAAGAATTATTTATATTATAGCTTAGTAAAGGTAGATAGTGATAATCATTTCAGTGGTAAGCAAATTTAAATTTCTAGTGCTAATCTTCACTGAGTTCTAGACCCTTATTTCTCTACCTGTCTATAGAACTTTCTTTACTTAAATAGTGTCATCCCCTCAAACTTAACATGTTCCAAATTGAACATTATCTCTCACATCCATTTAATCATAAAATCTTGACAAGTCTTCCCTCAAACTCTCTCATACTTCACTGTACATCTATACTACTAAAAACTCCTTATTGGTTTCTTTGCCTTACTTTTCTTCCTTCATTAAAGCAGTAAGTTCTACCTCAGAAGTAATTTATTACAAAGCAGTTTCATCATGTCCCTGCGCAAACCCTCTCCTGGTTGCCATTGTCTAAACTCAGCCTGGTATTCTGTTACTCATAACTTCATCCCTTGTTCCATCAACTCTAACTTCTACCGTTCTTCAAAATAAATAGTTTGCTACAGCTAAATTGACCGCCTCTGTCCACCAATCATATCTAGATTATGTAATATTCCCACTCTTAGTTTCTTCTCTATGCAGCTTTTTTCTTAATGTCACATTTCTTATTACAGTTATGGTGAACCAGGACTCAGGATGCCAGAGTTCTAGTCCTCTTCTGCTACTTATTAGATATGTTACTCTAAGTAAAGTCATTTAATTAATTAACAAAGGTCTTTTCCACTAAAAAATTAAGCGCTATAACATCAATCTATATGATGTCCAAGGTTCCTCTAGTTCTATCATGTAGTCAATGATTTCAGCTTCTGGAATCCATATTAATTATCTTCTATTTTAACTTTATAGCACTGTTTTCTGTATTCTTATTTCAAATATTATTGTACTATTTTGTATCATTTTCATACTCTTGTGTTTTTCTAGATTATTACTTCCACAAAGAAAGGATTGTTTTATATACTACTAATTCCAATGCTGTGTGTAACTATTGAATAAATAATTTAAGGATAACCAATGAACTAAGTAACCAACCCCATATCAATAACTAATAAACTGTGAAGTATAAACATTATTCTAATCTGAATAACAAATATTGTTTTATAAATGAATACAGACTGAAATACTTGTAATTACTCAAACTAAATAGTTGTTTTCTTTTTTGAATCTGTAATATTAGAAGAGAATACACCATTGATCATTTTGGATTTATTTATTTAGGTACCTAGGGTTGAACCAATTGGGTGCGTATCCACTGAGCCACATCCCCAGCCCTTTTTATTTTATTTTTTAAATTTTGAGACAGGATCTCGCTAAGTTGCTTTTAGGGCCTCACTGAGTTGCCGAGACTGGCTTTGAATTAGCAATCCTTCTGTTGCTGGGATTAGAGACATGTGCTACCATGCAAGACTGGATTCATTTTTATAAAAAATACATAGAATTGAAAATGAGAATATATTTTAAGGATTACATAAATGCCATGAACTTCCCCTTCTGACTAAAATGGAGTATGTTATAGCCAAAACAGCACCTCCATTGAGGAAAAACTAGATTTATGAGAGGGCTTTAGAAAAGCCCTGCTAAGAAATCTAGGACCTAGACAATAGATCCTAAAGAAAAAGAAAGCTTAATAGAAGTGAATTCATCTTTCTGCTGGGTTTTATTTTTGCCATTTACCATTTCTTAATGTGGGGCAAGACACTGAGAAGGTAGACATTTGATAGCTTTTAAGGGACAGAGAAGCCAGTGGAACTTCAATCAATTTCATAAGACTGGAGAGCCAGAAATTGGAGCAGAGAGCAGTCAACCAGATGTTGAGAGGTCTGTATCACATAAATAAGAGAGATACAGAGAAGTCAGCCTAATATTGGACACTGGTTTTTCCCCTTGAGTCATTGCCTATCATGCTACAGAAAACTACAAAGAAATAAAGCTAAAAATAGCAATTTCCCCCACACACATGGTACTGAGGGAAGTATGAGGAGTTCTATAGAAACCCAGGCTCTTAGGGCAACTGGAGGGATGTACCCTGAGAATGGGTACAAATAGAAGATAAATGGTGCCTGTGGTAGGCAGAATAAAACTCCTCCCTCCCAAGATTCTATGGCATAATCTGCAGACCCTATTAAATATGTTAGGGAAATTAAGTTTGCTAATCACCTGACCATAAGATATGGAGATTTTTCTGGATTATCCTGATGGGTCCACTATAATTAAAAGGATTTTAAAAAGTAGAATAGGGAGGCAGTGGAAGAGCATTAGAGTATGGAATAGTATGAGAAATATAAAATTGCTGACTTTGAAGATAGATGATGGAACCATAAGCCAAAGTTGAAAAGGGGTTCTCTCTTGGAGTTTCCATAAAGGAAGGCAGCATTGCCAGCACCTTGATTATAGTCCAGTGGGACCCATATGATACTTCTAGCCTGTAAGCAGATAATAAATTTTGTGTTTGTGCAAGCAACTGAGATTATGGTGATTCCTTACCTCAACAGTAGAAAATTAAAAATTTACACAGATGGCAAATCAGGTTGATAAATTAACTCAGTTCCCTGATTGAATTGAGATAATTTGTACCTCTCCTCCTACCAAAGGTAGATTGAACCTTCTCTAAAGATGTTAGCATTATATAGAGTCTTTCATTTTTCACACATAATTTTTGGCACCCAATCAGAAACTACCAAAAATCAGACAATAGAGACAGACTGACATCTCCAAGCCATGATACCTTTATCAATAAATTATTGTAAGCATTTTAAAAATAAGTAATACCAGTCCTATACTGAAGCTTGAAGGGGAAAAAGAAAACAACCTCAAGATGATAAAGGAGGGGGGTGGGGGGACAGAACATTTATTTGCAAACTCATTTTATGAAGTGAGCACATCCTTGATTTCAAAACTTCAGTGGATATCATATGGGAAATTGACTGGTATGGCTTATAAATACACACACAAAAATCCTAAACAGACTGTTAGTAAATATACTCTAGCAACATACAAAATGAATAATATATCACAATTGAATGGTATTTATTTTAAGAAACAAAGTTGTTTTAGCATCCAAAAACTAATTAATGTAATTTACCATGTTATTAGAATGAAGGTAAAAAAATTACATGATCATCTAAAAACATCCAAATATTTTAAAGTCTTAATGAATGAGGAAAAGGGACATCTTTTAATTTGATTTTAAAAAGAGAGAGAAACTTTTTAACAATGTAAGCAAATTTTTTTTTGTGCTAAAAATTTGAAAACTTTCCTATTGAATTATCATGTTATTATCTCTGTTCAGCATTGTACTGGAAGTCTTAGCCAGTTAAATAAGGCAAATAAAGGAAATAAAAGGCAAAAGAATCGATAAGGAGACATTGAAACTGTCATTCAAAGAAAATATGATTATGAACATAAAAAATGCAAAAGAATCTATAGCCAAACTATTAGAATTTGTATGGATAAATTTAGCTGAGTTGTTGGATATAAGATCAATTGTTTCTGAATTCCAGGCACAAACAATTATACAAAACTAATACCATTCACAATTACATAAAAAATCATTATATATCTACTAGTAGATTGAATAGAAATTTACAAGACCACTTCAACTCTACACAGAAAGTTATAAAATATTATTGAGAGACATTAAGACCCAAATAAATGGTAAACTATGCTACATTCAAGAATTAGAAAGTTAATAATTGTGAAGATACCAGTTCTACCCAAAGTGATCTTTAGAATCACTCATTCCAATCAAAATCTTGGAAATTGAGTAGCTAATTCTAATGTTTATATGAAAATGCAGAAATAAGGCTTTCTTTTAAAGAAATGAAGTTGGAAGAGCTCATGACCAGAACTCAGAATTAATAGGACAAAAAAAGGAACAACAAAGCCTGCAAAAGCAATGAAAGGAATAGCCAAAGAATAAAATTAACAGCTTATGAGCATATGACACCAGTGAAAGAGATTTATATATACATATATATTTCTTTTATTTTACGTGGTGCTGAGGATAGAACCCAGTGGCTCACATATGCTAGGAGAGCGCTCTACCACTGAATCACAACCCTAGCCCAAGAGATTGTTTTAAAGACTGTGGAGTAGTCAGTTGTGTTGAATGTTGCAGACAAATTAGGTAAAATAAAATAAAGATATTGTGTCTACGTATAACCCATGATATTGGAAGAGTAGTGTGAATACAGTAATGAAACTTCTACTATTGAAAATAAGATTTCAGTGAATTGAGAAGTACATAAAAGGTAAGGAATTAAAGATAGCCAAAGTTTAGATGTTGCAGAGGAGGAAAGAAGACTAAGGGGAATGTAAGGTGAAAGGTATTTGGGGTTTTAATTTTTTTTTTTTTTTTTATCTTGAGGAAGTGTGAAAATAAGAGATTTGAACTTTCAGTGCTATTTGGAGTGAGCCAGTAAGGAGAGAATTCATAGCTACCTGGGAGGTAATCTGTAGAGTGAGATTTCTGTCTGCTGAAGAGGGTCTGAACAGAAGTAGGGAAATTAACTTTTGGAATGGAGAGGAATCATTTTTGCATAACAAGAGTGAAAAGGAAAAAGGGTAAGTAGAAGCAGGGTTATTGTTTTGTAGTTTTGTTGGTAAGCCATTAAAGGAATTCTGATTGAGTGGCTCCTATTTTCTATTTGAATTGAAAAATCAGATCACCTGCAGTGAATGAGTGGGGAGTGAATCAAGTTTCAAATAGTTGCAGAATATTATGGCGAATACTACTGAAATAGTGACTAGTAGAACTTACAGTCATGATTGAAAGTCCTGTTGAAATGAATGGTCTTATATAGTGATAACCAGTTTGCTAACTATAAGATATTCTTCATCTTACCAAGGTAGAACAGGGATTGGCCAAGTCTGTGACTGTAGCAAGTCTTACTAGTGGCCTCTTTTTATAAATAAAATATTACTGGAACACAAACATTCCCATTAGTTGTCTGTAGATGCTTTACCATAACTATGGCCCAGATAACTATGTGGTCCTCAAAGCCTAAAATTTTTACTGTCTTATCCTTTACAGAAAACATTTGTCAATCCCTTTGTAGGATTACCTTGGATGTAGGTTCAGAAAAGGTTGACATTTGGAATTATTCAGAGGCATCTTGACAAATGGAAAGCTAACAGCAAAGAATGGAAGATACTGGTAGGGTGACGTGTTACACTTTGGAATCCAAGCTGGAAAGGAAAACAAGGGGACAGGATGAGCTGCTGATAAGAGTCCTAGTGTTAATTAAAATGTAAGAGTTAAGGAAAAAATTCAAAGTGATTATTGTCATGGATAACTGAAATAAATGATTTCAGAGGAGGAGAAATTATAGAACAGCATGTCCTGAGGTGGCTAAGGCCATAGGGTACTGAAAGGCAGATGGCTGGCGAGGTCATCCATGTGGATACCGAAAGTCCTTAGAGTGAGTAGAGAGGAAGATGGTGAGCCAGGTAGCTGTCTTTTTTTAATTTCTAGGATTTATTGTATGTTTAAGCTAAATAAATTGCTAATAGTCAATTTAAAAATTGCTAAAATGTGGAAAAAAGAAAATTTGTTTATTTGATTTTTGAAAAATTGTTTTTTTAGTTTTAAATGAACACAAAGCCTTTTTTTTTATTTATTTGTATATGGTGCTGAGGATTGAACCCAATGCCTCATAAATGCAAGACAAGTACTCCACCACTGAGCTACAACCCCATCCTTGTTCCTTAGATTTTATCATTACAACTTACACTTTTTAAATGTCCTTTTTTTTTTTTATCAGACTGCAGATGTATTTAATTTTGAAGAAACAGTTTATAGTCATCATATGTCTCCAGTTGCGACCAAGCACTGTTTGGTAGCAGGTTTGTATGTATGTTCTTTTGTCTTTTAACATACTGAGTTTTCTCCCTTTTTTATCTACTTAGCTGTGATAGACATTTTAACCCAGATGATGACAGTTCTTTTTTTTTCCCCATTGCACTATTGGGGATTGAACTAGGGGTATAATACTACTGAGGTATATCCACAGCCCTTTTTAGTTTTATATTTTGAGACAGGGCCTCCCTAAATTGCAGAGGCTGGCCTAAAACTTGCCAGTCTACCTCTGCTTCCTGAGTTGCTGAAAACATAGGCATGTGTCACAATTCCCAGTCACACAGTTTTTTTGTTTGTTTGTTTTTAAATATGTTACTATTTATGTTCGGTTCAATAGGTAATATGAAGTCAAGCACTTGCTAAGGGCCAGATGCAAAGATTAAGAAAGCCTATTTCTGAATGGGCATAGTGTTGTATGACTGTAATCCCAAGAACTAGGGAGGCTAAGGCAGGAGGATCACAAATTCAAGGCCAACCTTGGCAGCTTAGGAAGACCCTGTCTCAAAATAAAAAGGTCTGGGGTTGCAGCTCAGTGCTAGAATGTTCCTAGGTTCTATCCCCAGTACTACCAAAAAAAAAAAGTCATATTTTTTTGTTCCCTAAAAGATGCTACAGTTGTGGCTCAGACCTGAGTGCTTGCCTAGCATGCGTGAGGCACTGGGTTTGATCCTCAGTACCACATAAAAATAAAATAAAGATATTGTGTCCACCTATAACTAAAAAATAAATATTAAAAAAAGTTGCTTTTAAGTCATTAAAGTCTCAAATTATTTTTTAGTTGTATATGAACATAATGCCTTTATTTATTTATTTTTTTATGGTGCTAAGGATTGATTGAACCCAGTGCCTCATATGTGCAAGGCAAATGCTCTACCACTGAGCTAGAGCCCCAGCCCAAAGATTTTTTTTTTTTTCCTAATTTTTTTGATACTGGAGATTGGGCCCCGGGGTGTTTTACTACTAAGCCACATCTTCAGCCATTTCTAATTTTTTTTTTTTTTTTTCAGTTTTGAGACAGGGTCTCACTAAATTGCTAAGGGCCCCACTGGGTTGCTAAGGCTAGTTTCAAACTTGAGATCTTCCTGTCTCACCCTCCCAACTTGCAGGGATTATAGGCATGTGCCACCCTGCCCAACTCAAAAATTTTACATGAACAAAATTTGACAACTTTTTCAATTTGACATTTAAAAACAAGTAAATTAAAATTTTAAATCCATTTATATGAAAGCACGTGCTATACGTTTTCATATGTATAGGAGAAAAACAGGTTTCCTAGTTTTGGATATCTGTTTACTATGATTCAGTTATTTCTATGGAACTACAGAAGTCTCTTCGCCTCTAGACATTCAGATGCTTCATCTATAAAGAAGAGCTAGGCACTCATTTGTCTTTGAGGTTCAGTCTCTGTCCACATTTTCTGTGAATCTGTTACAATTCTAAGTATATCGTTAACTTGGAAAAAGTAAGCTATTAAAATAAATGATCTGATGTGGGAAATATGGGGGGTAGAATTATACACACACATTTAAATTTCCAGATAAATTTTCTGATTTTGACATTGTACTTTAGTCAACTAAGTGATTTGAGGAATCTGGGTAAAGGGTACACAGACCTTTTATAATAGTTTTGCAGCTTCCTGCAAATCTGTAGTTAGTTTAAACTTTAAAATGATGCACTAATTGAGTTCTCTTTCTACTAAAGTATAACTATAAAATATTTTTTCTAATTACAAGCATTCGGGATGATTTGAAATGTATATTTGGCATACATTTTTATATCTATGCATGAATACAGTGAAAATGTCATGATTGCTGTTAATGTGTTGTTTCCTTTTGATGATGATTTATAATAGCATTATATTAAACCATTTTTTTGTTTGTTTTTACAGTTGGTACTAGAGGACCCAAAGTAAAACTTTGTGACTTAAAGTCTGGATCCTGTTCTCATATTCTACAGGGTATTTTTTTTTTCTTAATTTGAAACAACTATTACTTTGAGTAAGCCATTCAGTAAAAAGAAACATTACTAACAATGTATTCTTTGTAAGTGACATGAGTGATGTATTTTGTACTAGTTGTTAAAAGTCAACAGTGAAATAAGGATCCTTCTGTGCATTGTTCTTATAAAACTGAACTATTGACAAGTGGCCATAGGGGAAGCTCAAAGGATAGGGAAAATAGGTCTAACTCAAAACCTTATGTTACTTCTACATTTAAAACAATAAACTGCTGATGAAACTTATGTCAGTAATTTGTGTCATTAGCATTGCCTAATATTGTTTCATCTAATGAGTAAACATTGTTCTTAATTAAGTGTATTTTTTCTTCAAAAATATTTTAGAAAAAATTAAACTTCTTTGAAAAAAGTATATTGATTGAAATTTTTTGCTACTTTTTCATCACTATTAGATTTGAATTCTAAACAATGAAAACATGAAATATAATCCATAAATGTACATTTTTATTCATCTCTGAGGAAAGGATACTAAATATATCAAGAAAATTTGGTGGGATGTTTAGCATTTTTTATGTTATTATGAATTTCTATTGAGGTAAGCTTGGCAGATGAATATGTCAGATTTGAATAATTCATTTAGGTGATAATAGCAAGCTAAAATGTTGAAATCGCCCTGTGAACCTAGAAAAAAATTGTGCTTTCTGGAAAAAATTTTATACACTTGCTTGCTTATAATCACATTTTTTTTTTGTTACAACTTTATGAGCAATTAGGAAATATTTATATTCCTTTGAAATGTTTGTCTTATGTTTTATTGTGTGGCTTTTTATCATAGAACTAAGTAATTAAGCTTGAGTTGTATGAATTGACTGAAATAGGCTAACAACTGTATTTTTTTTATAAAAGATTCACTTGCTTTGTTCTTTCCAAAGCAAAACCAGTCCTTTTATATTAAATAATATGTAGCATTTAAACATAGATTATTATAAATGTGAAAACTAATAAGAGTATCCATTCACTCCTAATATTTATGATTACTTTCTTCAGAATCAGGCAATTATTGACACTTTATCTTCTGATTTTTGAATATTGTATAAGACTTTTCATATAGTTATGTTTGCAGGTCACAGACAGGAAATCTTGGCAGTTTCCTGGTCACCACGTTATGAGTATATCTTGGCTACTGCAAGGTAAAATGCAACTTATTTGATTTTGGTGTTTATGTTAGTAATTAATAATAAGCATTTTTAAAAATATATTTATGTAGGATACACATTTTATTTAGCATATGTGCTCATTAATTAGCCCTTAAAAATGAAATACTTTTTTCAGATTTTTAATTCATATCAGTAAAGAAATTTTTGCATCATAATCCTAATCCTAACTAACCATCTTGAGGGTATTTGTCTTTTAGAATAGAGAAAACACAAACAATAAGAAATCTAAATCAACTAGCACTACTAATGAAATAGTTGTGTGGTATCATTTTTGCACACAAAAGTACAACACTATATTAATTTAATAGTGGCATTTTTATTCATCTTCTTTAACCTAGAATTATTTCAACTCTAATACAAAACACCTATTTATTCATTGATTCAACTTACCAGCATTTGATGGCTACCTACCATGTGCCAAACATAGTTCTAGTGCCACAGAGGTAACTAAGACTTTCTGGAGCTAAGAATCTAACGAGGGGAAAATAAGTGATCATAGGACATTTGGAAAGATGCTTTAGTACAGGTACATCTTTGGTAGGTATAATATAGGAAAGGAAAGCAGAAACTTTTGACTGTGAAAGGGTCAAAAGATTTAGTGGGTTGTTTGTTGAAGGGAAGAATATTGAATATTTAATATTATGGGAAGAAAGTACCAGCAGAGAGAAATAGGTAGAAATAGAAATGAAGGGATTTGGGCAGGGAGGGAGGGCACATACTAGGGATTGAACTCAGGGGCACTCTGTCCACTGAGCCACAACCCCATCCCTATTTTGTATTTTATGTAACAGGGTCTCACTGAATTGCTTAGCGCCTAGTCTTTGCTGAAGATGGCTTTGAACTCACAGTCCTCCTGTTCCAGCCTCTAGGTGTGCCCCTTTCTGGCTAGAAGGGATATTTTGAAAGGAAGAGAGAGAGGAAGGGCGGAAGGAAGGAATAGCAGAAAGATCAGTAGGGTAAAGGGAAGGGAAGGCGGGGGAGGGAAGAGAAAGGGCAGTACTGGGGACTGAATTAGAACAAATTATATTCCATACTTTTATAATTTTGTCAAAATGAATCCTAGTGTTATATATAACTAAAAAAATGAAAATACATTGTTCTCATTATTCACCTTATTCTCAAGTTTTATATAAAAAGGAAATCACCTAATTTATGCCACATAGATTCTGAAAGTGAAATTAGTTAACTGTTTTATTGTCTAGGTAGTATTTGAATAACAATAATAGAAAAGATGGAGTAACAAACTTGCAAGGACCTTGTAGGGAAGATGCTCCTATAGTTAAAAACAGCATAAAAGCACAATTTTTGTCCTTTCTTTTGCTGTATTTATCATCTTCATGCTACAGTTGTATATTGATTATTTGCTAAAAAGGCAAAAGAATAACAATCCAATTGTACAAATACATTCATGTTAATATAATGAAAACTATGTGTCAGTGCTAGAAATGTGCATGAGGTGTACAATTACTATTCTAGCTGCGTGTATTCAGTAACGTTTATTTCTTTCCAGTGCTGACAGTAGAGTAAAACTATGGGATGTGAGGAGAGCTTCAGGATGTTTGATTAATCTTGATCAGCATAATGGGAAAAAGTCACAAGCTGCTGAATCAGGTAATTAAGATTATAATAATATAGAAATAATATAATAGTAATTTTTATACTAAGGTTTTAAATTGAAGCCAAATAATAAATATATGTTATATATCATAAACTTTATGATTTTTTTGGAAGATATTTACCATGAATCATGTTTTAAATTACTTAAACTAAATTATGGTTGTCCATTGTCTTTCTCAAAAATAAAATAATTATGGCATTTTCTCTTGCCTCTAAACTTTTAAACAGAAGCTTTTCTAGGTTAACTTGCTTTACTGATTTTTACCCCCAATGAGACTAGCTATACAAATTAAATGGCAAGTAGAAACTACAATTAATTACAGAATCAGTAGTATTTGTGCCATTGTGTCAATATAAAAACAGCAAGTTGTATTAAATGTGAGTCAGCTGCAATCCCTGTGACAATGTATCTCAGCTATATTTTTTCTTTTAATTTTTTTTTTTAGTTGTAGTTGAACAGAATGCTTTTATTTATTTTTATGTGGTGCTAAGGCTCAAACCCAGTACTTCACACATGCTAGACAAGGGCTCTGCCTCTGAGCTACAGGCTTAGCCCTCAACTGTATTTTTATATTAGAATTTAACTCTATATAAAAACTTTCACTCAGAATTAATTCTGGACTGGAAGTATATTAGGATGAAGTACATGAAACATTGTGGTAACAGACTATTAGGAATTGTGCTTTCTCAAACTAATTTTGAAAGTGGTAATAAATTTTGATTTGAAATGATCAGTTATTCTTTCTATTGAACTTTTTTATTCTTATTTTTTGTAGCAGGATTGAGCCCTGAGGCAGCTCTTAACTACTGAATCACATCCAAGTTCCTTTTATTTTTATTTTTTATTTTGAGACAGGATCTCTTTTAGGCCCTTGCTAAGTTTCTGAGGCTGGCTTTGAACTTGCAGTCCTCTTGCCTCAGCTTCCAAGCTGGATTAAAGGTGGGTGCCACCATGCCCAGCTGTTTCCATTAAACTTTTCTTTTTAATGATTTTTAAGAGTCTATGAATGATTTTTTGATTAGAAATGAAAATAATATGTAAGAGGGATGAAAGGTGATTAAAATTTTTGTGTTAAGCTATGCATTTAGTTGAATTTGATAGCATAGTTTACTTGCTGAAAATAATTATATTTGGCAAGATCTTTGATTTCCCTGTATTTTTATCATTCTGATTCATATGGCCTATCATATTCAAATAATCTGAAGGGTTAGTTAATTTTAAATGTAATCAATTTATATACAGTTTAAGTAACTCAGGTAGTGTTCCTTAATATGTTTAAATAATTTTATCTTTCACATTAAATATATGCCAAATACAGGAAAAGAACCGAACTGTATTTTTCATTGCAGCAAACACTGCTCATAACGGGAAAGTTAATGGCTTATGTTTTACAAGTGATGGGCTTCACCTCCTCACTGTTGGTACAGATAATCGAATGAGGCTCTGGAATAGTTCCAATGGAGAAAACACACTAGTAAGAGATTTTTATATATCTTTTTGGATATAAATTAAAAATGGATCTGTGAGATATACTTTATATTTTTCTATAGATTTACCTCCATTTCTTGAGTTTGAAAAATAGCTGTTTTTTAGACAAATATATTTTCCCACTATGCAAACTCGTAATTTTCAAATCCTGAAAACCCACCTTTACCGAACCGTTGCTATTCTCCCCCTACTTAGAGAATTATTGTTCTGCTGTGACACTGCTCCTAATGGGAGTGTGCTGTATTGCTCATGTATGTTGGAGAATAAAAGATTGAGAATTATTGGTAAAAGTAAAAGGTATGAAGTTAAATATTTCTGTTTTATACTATAAATGACTTGTAAATAAAACTCAAAGTGAGTATTATACCAGAATATATAGTACTTTAGTTAATACTAGAAAATAGTGGAATAAATGTGTTTTGTAAGTCCTAGATTCTCATGTAGCAGTTAATTTGTAGTACTTGTTTTTATGTGTTATAATCTATATCAGATAAGCTGATGGTTTAATACCTTTCAGAATAAACTATGAAAAGTTTATACTTTCATTGAGTTTATATGCCAGATTTACAGTGCTGATAATAATTAGCATTTAATACATATGCAGGAATATATATTTAACATTGTATCAATATTGTAATGATAGGAACTGTTACAATACTCGTTTACACTTGAGGAAAATGATGCATATAATGGTTATATGCATCAGGTTGCCTAGGTTTGCATACCTAGAAAGGAACAGTTTGACTCTAAATTCTACACTTAACATAATCCCTATTATATCTAGACTCCTTAATGCATGTGTGTAGGTATTACTCATAGTCCTTTCTTTACTCATTCTTTCTAGCTAATAATTCTCTTTAAAATACTCTAGGTGTCACTTTGATTATTAATACTAAAACTACTAAAAGATCAAAAGTGTGTCTAGAATATTTCAGGATTTGCTAGTCTTTTTATCCCCCATGCTGGGAATGAAACTCGGGGCCTTATGTATGAAGGGCATGTGCTCTTATCTCTGAGTGCCACCCCCAACTCCTCTCTCCACTTTATGATTCTTTTCATAGAAACCCAAGCCTTGTGATTTGTAAGTAGGAAAAAAAAAAGTTAGAATCTTCCATTTATAAGTAGAAAAAAAAAAAAAACTTATTTGCCAGGCAGTATTATATAGTAGTGGATAAAACAGAAAAGGCCTATTCTCAGAGAGAAGATGAAAGATATCAATCAATTAGTAGATAGGAGAGATGGATAAACTATTTAAATAGTGTGAGCACTGTAAAGAAAAGCAAAATAAGGAAAGGAGCACAGGAAATATTGGAAAGTTGAAGTTGCTATATTTCATAGGACAACCAGGGTAGGTCTCACTGAGAAGGTGACATTTGACCTAGAGAAAATAACCCATCAGTTACATGGGATAGAGGGCATTCTAGGCAGAGGAACAAGGAAAGTAACAAAGTCTGAGGTGAAATCATGCATGAGAAGCTCAGGGAATAGCTAAGATGCTCTTTTGTTGCAATGGAGGAAGAATAACAGGAAAAAAAGGAACAAAAAAGAACAGGATGCCTGAGGCCTTAGAGTCCTGTATAAGAGCATAGGTTTTTCTCTGGGTGAGATGGAAAGGCACTAAAGGCTTTTGATTCAAGTAGTGACAAGATAATTCTAGAAAAGTATCCTGGCATGTGTGTCAGTGTTTAATGTGAATAAATATAAATGTTACTGAATGTATTTACATTGTTAATGCAAATGTATTCCATTTTTCTCTCCTTGAAGGTGATATTTGTATACTGCAGGGGTTTTGCCAATAAGTACACATCTAGAATAGTGTATTTGGACTAAGCAATACATTTTTAAATGGACTTGATCAAAGCAGATGATCAGGGCCCAAAAACTCACCTATAGAGGGCATTTAGAGAAACTTGGAACATTAATCTCAGAAAAAGTAACTCTAGGGGGAAACATGCTGCCTTAAAGTTTTTGAAGGCATATCAGAACAAATACCAAATTTTAGTCCTACTACTTAGTAATTGAGGACGTTAGACAATTTGTTTGAGACTATTGTCAGAGTTTTAGTGTCCTCATTTTGTAAATTGAGAATATCATCAGCCTAAAAAAACAATGATAAGGGGAAAACAGAAGTATGCAAAAAAAGTAGTATCTACCTGCCAAATAAAGGCATATATCATATTAACTATTTTTATTGTGTGTTTTTGCCTTTTTAGTAGTACCCTTTTTAGTTTAGAGAAAGTGTAAATACACACTTCGAATGTATATATAATTATAAATTATATTAAAATGCTAGTATGTCTATATATTAAACTTGATAAAACTTAATTTCTTATTTTTTGGATAAAAGTGAAGTAGAAATAGAAATTTTTCACACCTTAATGGATCATATTGCACACTCCCTGAGATTTGTGAACTGCACTCTGGAGACCATTGCCATAGAGTTTAGAACAAGTATTGCAGGGAAAGTTCACAGGGAAGCAGCTTTTACCAAAACAAGAGAAAAAATTCCAAGTAGACCTTCTGATATTTCTCTTGCTTTAGTTACTAGCATTATCATTCATCTTGTGATTGATAACACCAGGAAACTAGAAACCCATCTAATATTCTTCCCTGTCAGTGGATCAGCTATTAAGTCAAACACAGATTTTACTCCTCCTTTTATATATATATATATTTTTTTTTTTTCCATATCTGTCTCTCTTTCCAGTCTTACTACTGGGCTAGTCTTTCTAATTACTCTAATGTCCTTCTAACTATTCCTAAATTCATCTCCCAGTGGAAGTCTGTCTTTGAAACCTCTGTTTTCAGATTATTAAAACTGAATGACTTTACTTTTTGTGTACAAGGCCTTCATAAGCTGTGCCTTCTAGCTCAATAGATTCACTTTTTCGTTTTTCCTGGTCTTTAGCCATACGGAATCACTTTAAATATACCATACTCTTTCACCCTTACATTCTGCTGTAGGGACTGCTGCCTTTGCTTTAGAATACCCCTTCTCCTTCCTGTTCTAGCTGCTCCTCAGCTTTTAAGATTCATCTGTTTTTTTTTTTTAATATTTACTTTTTAGTTTTAGGTGAACACAATATTTTTATTTTGTTTCTATGTGGTGCTGAGAATCGAACCCAGTGCCTCACGCATGCTAGGCAAGCCTGTTACCACTTAAGTCACATCCCCAGCCCAAGAGATTCATCTCTTTAACTCTCCTATTCAAGCTTAATGCCCCAAAATTGCCTTATGCTCACTTGTATTACAGTGTACTATGATCATCACTTCATGGAATCAAAGAAAAATAATGCACAGGGCACAGTTGTTTTTGATTGGTGTAGTCTAGATCGAGCTTCTGATTCTATCATTTTCTAGCCAAGAGATCTTGATCATATTACTTAGCCTTTCTAAGAATTTTCTTTTTGTATAATAATGCCACCCATCTTGTAGCATTGTTTTGAAAACTATGTGAAATAATACATGTAAAACACTTAGCACATTATCTAGTACAGCAGATATTGACATTGAGTAAATGCTATCTGTGATTATTATTAATTATGCTGATAGTTATTTGACAATAAAATGAGCTGCCTTGTGATAGAATCTACATTGCTTTAGGTTTTCCCTTATTAAATAGATGGATCTCTTTCTTGGTGCAACAAAAGGGATTTATATTTTCTATCCCAAATCTACGAAATCTATCAAAATCTTTTCAATTCTGCTTTAAATATCACCTTTAAGACATCATAGCCCAAAGTAGCCTTCTTTGATACTTTCATATTATAACATGTCATTTACCACACATTACTTTTATGGTTAGCATTTATATTTATTGAGGATCTTAGATAATTACCTAGCCCGATATATTACACATAGTAAACACTTAATAAATGGTTAATCCCTCCCTTCCTTACTCTGTAATTTGAACTTCATTCTATAGACATTGAAAAGATAGTGATAGTTTTTGAGTTCACAGATGATTTGATCACAGCAGTGATTTAGAAGGATTAATGTGATGTTAAAGTGAAGGATAAGTTGGAGTAGGAAGGCCTAAAGACAAAGACAAAATTTAATAAGCTAGTTCTATATTCATAACTTATTCAACAAGTTTCAATTAAAATTTGGGAAGAAATGTGGTATAATTGAAAGAGTATAGGTTTTGTAACTAGGTATTCTCATAAATAAATAAGGCCATTGTAGTCTAACAGTTGATAATTTGTCCAGTGTTCACTAGTTGAGAAGTAGTGTTTTTTAAATCTTGTCTCCATATCATTCTACAAACTTTTGCACATGGTTGCCCAACAATGTGAATATGCAAGTGAGAGAATGTTATACTTTTAAACATGTGTAGGAGTTAATAAGTCCAGGCACTTACTGACTACTTTTATGCCTCAGGTACTCTCATATGCATTATTTCACTTGCTCTTTCATAATAACTCTGTGGTAAATTGTGTTATTTCCACTTGACCAATTAGAAGAATAAAACTCAAAGGCTAAATCATTACTGATAAGGGATCAAAAAAATGATGGATTTTAAAGCTCAAGTCTTCTGAATATAAGTTTAATGTTTAACCTAGTTATAAAACTGCTGCCTTGGGGTATCTAAATGCATATGCTCACTTCCGTTAGATGTTATTCTAAAGGGACAATAAGCTGTTAGATCCACAGCTTATCAGCATGTATCCATTTGAGCCTCAGTATTTCTGTTTTTATGTACACACATATTCACACAGACATGCGCACACATGCACAACACACACGCATACACACTTCTACCCAAAGAGAAAAGAGTAAATTACCATTTAAATTTCCTATTACCCATGACGAAGAAGGGAGATTTTGATGATCTGCACACTCATAATTCCCAAATGATTAGATATTGGTTTTAATTATCAGCAGAAAGTGAACCTGTCAGACTTCTTTAGCCCAAGGCATCTCAGGCACCTGGGGAATTTGTTAAAATGAAAATTCTTCTTCAGTAAGGTTGGGATGGGGCCTGGAAGAATGTAAGTCTAACTGCTCAGGTGATTCTTGTGTCACTGAGCTTGCAGACTACCCCTTTTGAGTATAAGAACAGAATTTAAATTTTTATCGCAAATACATATTGGTTGTACAAAGCTGAAATTATAATTATACATACTATTTGTGTTCTGTGGTTTTATGTATTTAGTCTTTACCCCTATTTCCGATATAGTTTTCATAATTATGATTTACATAAGCTGTAGAGTTAATATTATATTAGTAATATACATCGTTCTCAGTTATTTCACCATTCTAGATAATGCTGCATTCAATTCCCTTGGCCATATTATTTTTTGCTTTTTAATTATTTCCTTAAGATAAATTCCCAGGAGCGATTACTAGGTCAAGGAGTAAACATATCTTTGTTGTTTAATAGGTAGTTTTGCAAAATGGGAAAAGTTTTAAAGATGGACATTGGGGATGGTTGCCCAACAATGTGAATATATTTAATGCCATTAACTATATGCTTAAAATGATTGAGATAGCAAATTCTTTATTTTTGTTTGACCACAATTTAAGTTCTTTTAAAATGAAAACAGTAGAAGGTTATATATAACCCATCCCTCCCAAAAAACAAAGAATATCTTTGTATTTTGTTGCATAATAAACCCTTCACTTTTTAAAAGGAAAACCAAATTATAATGTTATCAGTATGTTTACCTCATTTGTGCCAGTATTGTGTGTCTGTTTCTTAAAATTTTTGCTAAACCAGAGTCTGAGGATGTAGCTCAGTGGTAGAGAACTTACCTAGCATGCACAAGGTCCTGGGTTCAGTCCCCAGCACCACAAAAAGAAAAAACAAATTGCCAAATAGTGTAATTCTTCAAGTTTGCCTTAATTTGCCTTTTTATTTTTGTCAAGACTAAAATGTGAACATTTGCCCTTATGGATTTTTTTCACTATTTATATTCCTCTTATGTGAAATATACATTCATGTCATTGGCCCTCATTTCTCTTAGAATATTAAGCATTTTTAAATTTAAGAGCTCTTTCTATACAGTGTTATAATGTTATGTCATAGTATTTGGAGAAAGTATTTCTCCCAGTCTTCATTGTCCTTATTAATTTAGATTTAAGAAATAATTAACTTTATGATTTTAATCCATCCTGCAGGTGAATTATGGAAAAGTTTGTAATGATAGCAGAAAAGGATTGAAATTCACTGTCTCCTGCGGCTGCAGTTCAGAATTTGTTTTTGTGCCATATGGTAGCACCATTGCTGTTTATACAGTTTACTCAGGAGAACAGATAACTATGCTTAAGGGACATTATAAAAATGTTGACTGCTGTGTATTTCAATCTAATTTCCAGGTAAGAATGATACTTAAGGGAATTTAAGATGTTCAAGTGGCTAGCTTGCTAGATTAGTAGCATATAAAAGTTACATTGTGATTTCATTCTGAAGGTTTGTATTTATAATCCACATTTGAGCTAAGATTTATTTAATAGAAAATAATGCAGCCTAGATTTTTAGGTGACGTAAAATATATGTATAAATCAATATAATACTATGCAATTAATTGGGACAAATTGTCTTTCTTTTGCATATGGGCTCCATTTAGCTATTAAAAATCTCTGATGAAATAAAATATTTTCTTTCAATCTTTTGTGTAAAATAAATGAATAAGTATAGGTATTTAACAAATTATAGTGTATCTTGGTTTATGTACGTGTGGGTATGTCTGAAATTTTATTTCTTCCTTATTTTCTACCAATGGCTAATAACAGCCTGCCTTTAAGTTAGCGTAGCTTACATAATTTCTTAAATACCTGTGGATTTTTTAATATCCTAATCTTTCTCTTTTGTATAACCAATGCAACATATGTTTTGCATTGGTTAAGATATTTTGACTACAAATTATAACATTCTACCAAATTGTTTCTTCATCATAGGTTTATCTAGAATGAATTAAAAGTATGCTAAAATATTGATTCTTGGGCTGGGGATGTGGCTCAAGCGGTAGCACGCTCGCCTGGCATGCGTGCAGCCCGGGTTCGATCCTCAGCACCACATACAAACAAAAGATGTTGTGTCTGCCGAAAATTAAAAAATAAATATTAAAAATTAAAAAAAAATATTGATTCTTCCCAGTTCCTGGAATAACTAAGAGAACCAGAGACTGGGCCAGTTGTCTCCTGTCAAATATAATTTCTATGTATGCTATGAACTCAGAAAGATTTTAATTAGTATACTACACCAGAGCTGGAGTTGTAGCTCAGTGGTAGAGTGATTGCCTAATATGTGTGAGACACTGAGTTTGATTCTCATCTCCACATATAAATAAGCAAAGTAGGGCTGGGGTTGGGGCTGAGCAGTGAGTAGAGTGCTTGCCTAGCACATGCGAGGCCCTGGGTTCGATCCTTAGCACCACATAAAAATAAATAGAATAAAAGGTGTTGTGTACAACTACAACTAAAAAATAAAATATTAAGTAAATAAATAAGCAAAATAAAGATCCATTGACAATAAAGAAAAATAAAAAAACACTATATCAGGAAGCTCCCACTTTTTATTCCAAATCACCTACTATTTTGCTGAAAATGAAAATAATTATAAATCTTAAAAACAAAGAGGGTAATACTTTTGCATCCATTTAGCAGCAGAATTCCTTTTGCCAAATTAAATATGTAAAACTATCTGGAAAAAGTTATATTAATTCTACCATAAACATACAAATCTGACAAGATAAACTTAACATTAAAATGAATAATTATAGCAATGGATTATAACCTATTGGCAAAAATGGAAATCTCTGAAGTTATGCTGATATCAACAAGTAGATTAGGTTGAAAATTTGGTAAGGAAAGGGATATTTACATAGCCTAAGTGCTAGCCTACAAAATATTATGTACAAAGGTAAAATGTAATTTTATTTTGAAGAAGCCTGGAATATTTTTCCTTAATCAAATGATCAAAGTTAACATTCTAATTATTTGTCATCACATCTATGAAATTCCTGGCAAACTTGCATCATTCAGTTTTAACCATGAGGAAACATTAACACAATCCAAATTTGAAGGACATTCTACTAAGTAACTAGTTTGTGTTTTCAAAATTGTCTAGGTCAGGAAAGCCAAAGAAATCAAAGAACTGTTCCAGATTGAAAACTTGAGACCAAGTGCAGCACTTGATTTTTAACTGGAACCTTTTACTAAAAAGGACATTTTTAATACAAATGGTAACACTTAAATGGGACTTAAGAATTAGATGCTAGTAAAATAGCAATGTTGATTTTCTGATTTTATGGGTTACATTGTAACTATATATAAACGTCCTTTTTCACGGAAAATATATACTAAATTTATTCAAAGTCAACAGAAACTTATGTTAACAATTTACTCTCTTATGGTTTTGGGAAAAAATTACTTGTCCTGAACTTGTAACATAATTTTTGATATTTTTAAATCAAATTTCCCAAATGAATCTTTACGTTTATCCTAAAAACCTCAGGGCTCAATTCTGATCTCTCCATCCAAGTGCTCTTTATTAACCATTCATAAGTGCTGTCTTTTCCAAGCTGGTTTTTTTTTTTTTTTGAACATGTATGGGATCTTTTTTTTTTTATTTATTCTTTTTAGTTATACATGACAGTTGAATGTATTTTGACATACTATACATGCATGGAATATAACTTCTCATTCTGTGGTTGTACATGATGTGGAATTACACTGGTCATGTATTCATATATGAACATAGGAAAATTGTGTCCAGTTTATTCTTCTGTCTTTCCTATCCCATTCCCTCTCTTTCCTTCATTCCCCTTTGTCTGATCCAATGAACTTCTATTTTCCCCTGCCCCTTATTGTGTGTTAGCATCTACGTATCAGAGATAATGTTTGGCCTTTGGTTTTTTGGGTTTGGCTTATTTCATTTAGCATCATAGTCTCCAGATCCATCTTTACTGGCAATTGCCATAATTTCATTCTTCTGAGTAATATTTCACTTTGAAAATATATATAAACCACATTTGGAAGGCACATAGGTTGGTTCCATAGCTTAGCTAATGTGAATTGAGCTACTGTAAACATTGATGTGGCTGCATCACTATAGCATGCTGATTTTTATCTATTTATTTTAGTTGTAAATGTACACAATGTACCTTTATTTATTTATTTTTATGTGGTGCTGAGGATCGAACCCAGTGCCTCACACATGCTAGGCAAGCACTTTACCACTGAGCCACAACCCCAGCCCTGTAGTATGCTGATTTTAAGTCCTTTGTGGGATTTCTTTTATGTCTCAGTCTGCCATTTTATTTAGGAAATTTGATATTGTTTAGCTGATTTGATATTTTATATGTCTACATTTCTCATTAAAAAACTTAATATTATTTTTTTCTTTACTCAAAATCTTCTCTTAAACAATACTAATTATACGATGCTTCAAATGTTTTTAAGATATGGAATAATAAATAATTACATTCTAAAGCAAGGGAAAATGCCTATTGTTAGGATTATTTATTCCGATCTACAGAAACACAGTTGTGAGGGGAGAAAAAGGCCATTTAGTCATTAAGAGTTTTGTAACCACCTACATTTTGTTGCCTTTTTAGCCATTTTTTTAAGCCCATTCTCCTTTGCACAGTAATTTTTATTATTATTGACCTACTGTTTTATATCCTGGTTTTTCCCCTTTACTTTTTGAGTATTTGGTTTAAATCCTTTTCTTTTCTCTTGATGAATATTTTCCAATGTCATTAAATGTTCTTTGACAACAAATAATATTTCCTCATATAAACGCAATGTTAATTTACTAATAATCATTCTTCTATTCCTTCATAAATATTTCTATTTTTGTTATAAGTTTTATTTGGATGATAGCCTTAAATTTTTTTTATTATTTTTTTGAGTTTTTTTTATTGGTTGTTCAAAACATTACAAAGCTCTTGACATATCATATTTCATACATTAGATTCAAGTGGGTTATGAACTCCCATTTTTACACCAAATACAGATTACAGAATCACATCAATTACACATCCACATTTTTACATAATGCCATATTAGTAACTGTTGTATTCTGCTACTTTTCCTATCCTCTACTACCCCCCTCTCCTCCCCTCCCATCTTCTCTCTCTACCCCATCTACTGTAATTCATTTCTCTCCTTGTTTTTTTTTTCCCATTCCCCACACAACCTCTTATATGTAATTTTGTATGACAATGAGGGTCTCCTTCCATTTCCATGCAATTTCCCTTTTTTCTCCCTTTCCCTCCCACCTCATGTCTCGGTTTAATGTTAATCTTTTCCTCCTGCTCTTCCTCCTGCTCTGTTCTTAGTTGCTCTCATTATATCAAAGATGACATTTGGCATTTGTTTTTTAGGGATTGGCTAGCTTCACTTAGCATAATCTGCTCTAGTGCCATCCATTTCCCTGCAAATTCCATGATTTTGTCATTTTTTAGTGCTGCGTAATACTCCATTGTGTATAAATGCCACATTTTTTTATCAATTCATCTAGTGAAGGGCATCTAGGTTGGTTCCACAGTCTAGCTATTGTGAATTGTGCTACTATGAACATCGATGTGGCAGTATTCCTGTAGTACGCTCTTTTAAGGTCTTCAGGGAATAGTCTGAGAAGGGCAATAGCAGGGTCAAATGGTGGTTCCATTCCCAGCTTTCTCAGGAATCTCCATACTGCTTTCCAAATTGGCCGCACCAATTTGCAGTCCCACCAGCAATGTACAAGAGTACCCTTTTTCCCAGATCCTCGCCGGCACTTGTTGTTTGACTTCATAATTGGATGATAGCCTTAAATTTTATTTGTGACTCTGGCATAACCTCAGAAATGCACACAAAAGCTTGGGCTATATACTGAGAATCCATTCTCTCAATTACTATACCAGTTTATATCCTCTGTATAGAAAGTATTTATTTCACTACCCCATTGGAATGTTTTCAGTAATAGCCAATGCAACATTTCTTCAATTTTGTTAGGGAAGGGAGTGATCATTGTTCCGACAAGAGATAATAACTTGTCCATAAAGACATTAACATAGACTATACATTAAGCCAAGCTTCCTTTTATGAAGTAATTATCTCAACAGGCAAGGTATGGGTCTTTAAGCTGTTGTGTTGAATAGCGGGCAACCAGACAGAAAGAAGCTACACAAAACTTTTTTGTAAACTCTTGGTCTATTTTAGTAGAAATTCTTATGGTTTCTTCATTGAAATCGTTATTAAAGTGCAGTTATTATTGAGAATTTGGTTAAGTGATAGAACACTTGCCTAGCATATACAAGGCCCTGGGTTCACTCCCCAGTACTGGAAAAAACAAACAGAACAAGAACAACAACAAAACACCTGCTTTTGACAGAGAAAGACAAGCCCTTTATTCTATTTTTTTCTTTCTCTGTTATGACACTTGAAATATATGGATATTATGATTAATAAAACTGCTAAGACATTGAATGTACTTGTAAAATTTTCACCCCATTAATAAGCTCAAACAAAACTTGATAGTATTTTTTTTCTTTTTTAAAAAAATTTTTGGGGGATAGCATACCTTTATTTTATTTATTTATTTTTATATAGTGCTGAGGACCAAACCCATTGCCTCACACACGCTAGGCATGTGCTGTGTCCCTGTGCCAAAACTCCAGCCCCTGATAGTATTTTAAATACAAAACAAAACTTTATTGCATCTTAAAAAGAAAAAGAAAAAAAAAGGGCATCAGCATAGTTTAAGACGTAAAATAGAAATGATCTGATTAGTTTAAGAATTAATCATTTTTAAAACTGATATCGTTAATTTAAAATTGGTTCGACTTTGCTTTCTTTGCTGTAGGAACTTTATAGTGGTAGCAGAGACTGCAATATTCTTGCTTGGGTACCATCCTTATATGAACCAGTTCCCGATGATGATGAGGTAAATATTATTTGTACAAATGGTATGTAGTTATTCCTAAATCACAAGAAATAAAGTTTTATTAGTTTATACAAGAGAGCTTTTTTAAAGTATTTCTTGCTGTTTTCTGATTATAAAAATAACTTGATATAACACATTTGAAAAATTTAGGAAAAAAATATCATAAGAAGAATATTATATTTCTCAGGTTGGATTAAATAATAGTATTTTTTTATTTACTTCATTCTTGGTTTTTTCCTATGCATATATTTCTTTCTTCTTATTTTTAGCCAAGGACCCCAAGCTTTCCAGGCAACTAACTGTTCTACCACTGAGATACCCTCCTAGACACTGCTTTTTTTTTAAAAAACACAGTTAATATCATTACTGGACATATAACTTGGTATCTATTTTAAACTGTATCTTTAATGATATAGTGTTGCATCATCTGTATACCACAAATTTAAATATTTATATCTATTGTTTATAAACAGCATCAAGGTAAATATCTATTCACAATTTTTTATTCTTTCTTCTTTTCTTCCTTCCTTATATTGGGGGTTGAACCTAGGGGTACTTTACCACTGAGCAACATCCCCAGCCCTTTCATCCTTTTATTTTCATTTTGAGATAGTTCCCATTAAGTTGCCCAGACTTGCCTCAAACTTGCAATTGTCCTCTCTCAGCCTCTACTACAGATATTTATGATTATTTCTTAGGCTAACATTCCTGGAACCTCTTGAGTTACCATGTATGACATAATTAAGTCTCAATATCATGCTGCTAGATTTTACCAATTTACACTTCTAATATTTTATAATCTAACTGTACCTATCTTAGAGTGTAAATTAGAATAAATAGGACAGCATGAATAAAGAGACTTAAAAGTGTAATGGGTAAACAAAGATGAGTAAGACATGATCCCTACCCTTTAGTAGCTTCTTTTTTCAAAATTATTATTATTTTTACTGTATGTCAAGCTGTAGTAAAATAAAACTTGTCTAAAGATGCTTTCTCTTTCTTCAAGGATTATTCTATTCAGTACTATTAATAATTTCCATTTATATTTATTTCTAGGATATAAAAAGTTTTGTGTCTAGGGGCTGGGGTTATGGCTCAGTAGTAGACCACTTGTCTAGCACGTGTGAGGCCCTGGGTTCGATCCTCAGCACCACATAAAAACAAATTAAAATAAAGGTATTGACAACTAAAAAATTAATATTTTTTTAAAAGTTTGGTGTCTAAAAGAATGCTTATATAATTTTTTAAACTGGCAGTACAAATACATTTAGAAATACGTTAAGGTAATCTTAACCCAAATAATAGTAAAAACAAAGTATCTTAAATAGAGGTGGAAGGAAGTTATTGATAAAACCATTTGATATTCTAAAAACATTTTTCATATGTTTAGTTCCTTTATGAATATAGGACTATGTCAAAAGCCAGATGAAATAAAAATTTAACAGGGATAGTTAATAGCATCTAGCTAACAGCTGTTTACAAAATATATTTCATGCCTAAATTTGTAGTTGCTATGGTTTACTGTGGCATAAAGCCTCTGAACTGTGAATTGTTTTCTTTTGGCCTAATCCAAATGAAAGGGAGAAAAAAATACATGTTGATAAATCTTTGAGCATCTGGCCAAATGCCATATGAATGTTTCCAGAATTCATCTCATGTCTAATTTGGTTCATTGTGGCTTGATTGATTTTAGCAACAACTGTTTTTGATGGCTGAATATTCTGTAGAAAGCTTAATATGGTCAAAAAATTTAGGTAGCCATTTATTTTTTATTATTAAGTGTTGTATCTGCTCTGTGGGAATTACAGTACACATTAAATCAAAATTATAACACTACAGGCCATGTTAGGAAGTATATAATCACCAAATCAAAATAATAAAAATAAATTTAAAGAAAATCTATTATGACATATAAATAAAAGAATATTAAAGAAAATCTAAATTGCTTATCATAAAGATAATTTGTAACTTTGATGGCTTCTTCATTTCCTTGTTTTGTAGTTATACTGACAATTTAAGCTCATCTAAAAGACTTGCTTTTATGTATGAAAATTAAGCAAAACAATTAGAAGAACACTGAAAACAAGCTGAGCTTTATATTCAAGTCTTAGAGCTGTACAGCCTTATATGTTTTTGGCTAGGGTGGGGTGGGATGGGGATTCAGGGTTTGAACTTAGGGGCACTCATTTAGAGATAGGGCCTTAATGAGTTGCTTAGCAAGTTGATTTTGCTGAGGCTGGCTTTAGACTTGTGATCCTCCTGCCTCAGCCTCCCAAGCTGCTGAGATTACAGGCGTATGCTGCTGTGCCTGGCTAAGCCTTATCTTTTAAAATATCTATTTATATGCTTTCACTTTAGAATAGCAGTCCTTCTCATATTAGTATAAAGTGGTATGTGCTAAGGTTATTTCCATAAAAATTTAGTTTGAAAGATTCCTGTGAATGTAGGTAGAATATGAATATGACCATGATGCAAATTCCAGTAGAAAAGTTGGTCTACACAAGAACCTTTTTCTTACCATTTAACTCATATTCAAAAGTGTTTTCATCTTGACTATCAAATAAATGAGTATTGTAGATTCACAGAGGAGCAGTGTAGTATAATACAAAACAATTCACACCGATACATATGCACATATGTACTAGGTTTTTAGTTTTAGGTAAACCTGGGTTTGAATTCCAGTTTTGCCATTTGTTTCCAAGTTCTGCCAGTGTATTATGGGACAAGTTTATGACATTTTTGTAAAAAAATTTAGCTGTACATAACACAACACCTTCATTTTATGTATATATGTATGTATGTATGTGGTGCTGAGGATCTGACCCAGTGCCTCACACATGCAATGCAAGCGCTCTTACCACTGAGCCACAACCCCAGCCCCAAGTTTATGACATTTTCAAATATCAGAATTCCCAAAGTTGTTCTTAGGTTTCCTTTCAAATTTTATACTTCTGATGAGATTTTATTTCTTCATTAACCAAAATATAATCCCTTGGGGTACTTCTCCCAATATCCAAAACAGAGGAGGACTTTAATTCTATTTAAAGAAACTGAAGGGTATTGAATGATACCAGTCAGTCAGGTTTTATGGTCTTCAAGCATAATTTTTGTTACTTAATTGTCAGGCTGTTTTATTAAATCCTGAGGAATCTACTCCTCCTCCACTTCCTACTTGGTTATAATCAAGTTAAGCTTATCTGAACTCCTAATCACTTTTTCCTTCTGGATTTTCATAGGACAGGTACAGCTTAAATCTGACTTCTCATCAAGACTCCTACTTTAGTTTGCAGTCATATAATATATAACTGTTTCACATCTATCTTATGTAGATACATAATACTTACTGACACAGAAAACCCTGAAATTTTCCAGTAATTATCACTCAGAAATTTGAAAATATCAAGATATAATCCTGACAAATGTTTATTTTGGTCTCATTTCTCCTTTCCATTATTTGGACTCTAGAATAGATGCCCCTTTCTTCATTCCCATAGCACTAACAACTCTGACAAGTACATCAACCAACCTGGTGAGATAGAGATGACTATGTTCAAGAATAGATTGTATGTCCACTAGGAGGAGATGTTGTAGAGAAAACTGAAGAAATTGAAGGTGGTTAGACATATAGTTGTAGTAAAATAAAATATGTAATAAAACATGTAATAAAAATGTGGGTGGATTTAATATATATTTTACTCTTTGGGAATCTCAAATGGTAATGTGTACTAAGTCCATCTACATTTTTATTGGAGCTTTTAACTGCAAGTATGACATCTTATTTGTGATTGTTTTAGTAATAAAATGTATTTCTAGTGTTCTTTTGTTTACCATAGCAAAATAGGGTTAGCAATGCAGTCTGATTGCTGTAACAACTAAAAAAGAATAGCAAAGTTAATATATTGCTTTCCAGCCTTCCTGGAAATTTACTTGGACTATTGGCTTTTTCTATTCTTTTCATTATAAGATTCTAAGTCATCTTGTTTGCCAAACGTAAGTTGTTAAATTAACAGTACTCTTGGCACTAATATGTTATTGGAATTTGGATCTGAACAAACCATAGCAAATGTAAAAGCTGCGGAATAAGCAGCAGATCTGACTCATATGCCAAGAAACTTAAAAAAAAAAAAACTTAAAAGTCTTCTAGTTATTTGCTAGATAATAAGAAGGTAGTCACACTAGTTTTCCAAAGGAATTGATTTGATAATTCACAGATAATTAAAATTTCTCAAGATGCTGATTACCTTTATTAGGTATGGCACTAAACTTATGAGAATACTGTAATGTTTTCTTGTTATTTTAAGTAAAGACTTTTCAAATGCTTGTTACTCTTTAGAGAAATCTTCCAGGAAATCGTATGTGATAATTACAGACATGTTACCATTTTTGATGAATGTTGCATGTGCTTCTAACCATATACAAATAAACAAACCTCACCATTTAATAACCTTTGGACTAAAAATGGTATTATTCAGCTTGATGAACAGCTTATTCCTCATATGTGGATGTTTGTTTATTTATGAATGTCAAGCCCATCCAAACAGTAAAAAGTTGGCAGTATTAATATATAGTAATGTCAAGTTAAACTGTAGACCTGGAGTCCAGTCTTCACCCCATGGAAGTCAATATTCTACTTTCTGCAGATAATTCTTAAGAGTTGCAGAAATACCTTGAATAATAGCATCATTATTATATATATACATATATATATATATATATATATGTATTTGGAGGTGATCACTTTCAGAGAAATTCAGATTATTTGGATAATGTCCCATATATCTGTTTTTTACGGGGTGGGTACTGGGGATTGAACTCAGGGGCATTCAACCACTGGACCACATCCTCAGCTCTATTTTGTATTTTATTTAGAGACAGGGCCTCACTTTTACTGAGGATGGCTTTGAACAAGTGATCCTCCTGCCTCAGCTTTCTGAGTTGCTGGAATTACAGGCATGAAGCATCACACCTGGCTGATATATCTGTTTTAAATGGAGTTACATTATCTTATTGTATTGGGGGGCATTTCATATATTACTTTTGTTTTGAAATTAGCAATTATACAGTTTCTTTCAAAATAATCTAATTGCTGTTCATCTGAGCCTAAAATTATGCAGTGGAAAAAAAACAATATCTTCCTCTTTCTTTTTCTTTGTTTAGACTACAACCAAATCACAGTTAAATCCAGCTTTTGAAGATGCCTGGAGCAGCAGTGATGAGGAAGGATGAATATCAACCTTTTTGTCTCTACTGATGAAACTTTTAAAACACCACTGTTTGTGTGAGATTTTTTAAACTGTTCAGTTACTGACAATTAAATTAGCTTCAAATTTGGATGATAGTTTTTCCTCATTTTTTAAAATGAATTTACTATTTGTATAAAGTCCCGAAACAGTCTTCCATACTAATCAGAATTTGGCTATTTAATCTCAGTTGCTGTGGCCAGGAGCAGCCACTGTTGCTACAATACAATAGCAGAAGTTGTATCTCAGGTGAGATTGTAACAGATTGTCAAACCTGTGTAAAATTCTTTCTTATTGATATATTCATATTTTGCTATGATTTTATTTAACTGTGGATCATCTAGCTTTATGTTAAACAGTTTTGGACTTATTATCTCCTGCCATCCAAACAGTACATCACAGTAGGCTTTTAACTGGTGACATCTCATGTTTGCTTGAAGTCAGAAGCAGCTTGTACGCTCAAGCTTAAACTCCTTTCTATGAAACTAGCTAAGATTTACCATGTTCTGCCTCATTCATCCAAGCAAAAAATGTCCCAGGAGGGAATCTGGCTTAAACATAAAATGTTATCATAAAATTTCTATTTTATTCTCCCTTCTTCCTGTGTCAACTCACAAATGATTATTATGAAGCTAACTTTTCTTTTTTAAAAAAAAGTTTGCTGGGGATTAAACCCAAGGACTCACACATGTTGGTTAAGTACTTTATCAATGACCATCCCTAGCCTCTAAGAAACTAATCTTATATTCTCTTTCTTCCTGATTCTTTAACCAGCAGGAGACTAGAAAAAGAGGTTTTTGTGAACTTGGATACTAAGTTCATGATTATTTTTCAGTGTGTTGAGTTTTTAAAGTATATAACTGTTAGACCTCATGTCAGACCTTTCTGGTCAAATATTTTCCATACAAGAGTTTTCTGAAACCCAGAGTATTCTACTCTCACTTTTTTCCCCTCCTGATGGGGATGCTTTTGACCTTTGAGAAAGGTATTAAAATAGGATTTTTTTTTATTTTAAGAAAAAATAAGTCTTCTAAACTGTAAAGAATTGTATTGCTTCTTTCTAGTTATCTAAATATATGTATTCATTGTAAATAATTCAGACAACATAAAAACCAAAAAAAGAATGTAATGGGGGCCTGGGGTAAAGTACTTTACCACTAAGCTAGTGGTAAAGTACTTGCGAGGCACTGGGTTTGATTCTCAACACCACATATTAATAAAATAAAGATTCATTGATAACAACAAAAAAGGAAAGAAAGAAAGTAATGGCCACCTGGAATCAATACTCTAAGGTAACCATCACTAACATTTTGATAGCTATTCTCCATGCATCTCTCTATGACAGTTTTACATAGTCGGATGTTCAGCATTGCCAGTGTTATCATAGAAACTCCTTTCTTCTAACTAGAGTACTTCTTTCTTCATCTCTTACCCCTCTTGCCACAATCCAGGTTATTAACCTGGTGTGTGTTCTTTCATATTACAATCTTATATAGACCTAAAGAGAAATGTGGGTTTGTATTTTTAATTTTATAAAAGTGAGATATACATAGTTCTTTTTCTTTTTTTTTTTAGATACAACTCTTATACATCCCTCCATGCCATCTTTGTATAAAGAAGCCATTCTTGTTACTAACTGCATAATGTTCCATCTTGTGATTATGCCACAGTTTTTTTCCAGTCATTCTTGAGAACAGTATAGATTATGAACTGCACCATATTTTCCTTAGGTGGTGTTGTGGTTTGGGTATAAAATGTCCCCCAAAGACTCATGTGTTGAAGGCTTGGTCCCTGGCGCAGCATTGTTCACAGGTGGGGCTTTTGAGAATTGATTGGATTGTGAGGGCTCTGGCCTCATCTGTGATTAAGCCACTGATTCATATTTGATGGAAGGAATAAAATCTTTAGATGGTGGCACCTCATTGAGGAAAGAAGATCCCAGGGGTCATGTCCTTAGGGAGTATATCTTATCCCTTTAGTCCCACCTCTTTGTGCTTCCTGACTGGTCAGCATCAGCTTTCATCTCCTACACTCTCCCACTATGATGTTCTGCCTCACCTTAGTCCCAAAGCAGCAGAACCATCTTATCATAGACAGATCTCGGAAACTGTGAACCAAAATAAATCTTTCTTACTTCAAGTTGCTTTTCTCTAATATTTGTCACAGTAGAGAAAAGGTAACTACCACAGGTGGTCTATTTGGGCAGTACAGTTTACTTACTGAATATTATCTTTTCCTCTGGTAGAGGAAATGGTACTTTTGCTATGTGTAGGAATCTTGGGTTGTAGTCCTTTTCTTTCCTTAGTTTATAAATATTGTGTACTCTTTCTTCTAACTTCTCATGTTGCAGATGAGAATCCCAAAGCCAGTTTTATTTATTTATTTCCCCCTTTGTAGGGAACTCATTCTTTATAGTGGAAGCTTGTAAAATGTGAGGGTTTTTTTTTTCCTTATTCTTACAATCTTTCAATTTTGTCAGAATATCTGATCCTTTATCCCTCTCCCTCCCTCCTCCCATCACTTCTTGGACTACTGAGCTCTTTCATCTTTCAGTCTAAAGGCTCAAACTGTTTCTTGGCTTAGGCTATTTTCTTCTAATACTTGTCTGATTAAATTGCTTCTCCTTGTAGTTGTCATTGTTATCATCCTCCTCTCCATTTTTTTTTTTTGCCTCTTCTTCCTCTTCCTTTTCCTCCTCCTCCATAATAATTACATGTAACATCTACATTAACCTTTTATAGTCTTTTCCTTCCTGCTTGTCTTTTGTGGTATTATTGTTGTGACTAGAGTACCCCACATATAATAGGTGCTCAGTGAGTACTTGTTTTGTTATTTCTGTTCTTTACTTGAATGTTTATGCTTGATTTTAAAAGCCATTAATTTGGGCTTGACTGGTCATCAGGAGAGACTTCAATTATTGTTTTGTTCCCTTCTCTACCCTAAACACTTATTTTTTTTAAAGCACTTATAGAGAAATATGGGAGGTCTACAGAAGCTTCTACTTGAGACTTTAAATAGTATTTGTTCAGTTGATATTTTGCAAGGCCTATTCACAGTAGATATCAAGGAACTATCATGAAAGCAGTATTTGCTTAAAACTTGTCTGCAGTGTCTTGAACATTTTACATATTTTTCTTCCACACTGTCTTAAAAGTATGCATCTTTTAGTCACATAAAATATTTTTATCCTGTCAAAGAATACTCATGCCAGTTTTTTTACTTCACCTCAACTTGACCCTAGTTTTAACTAAAGTCGTTCATGCTACAACTATGAAACACTTAGTTTTCTAAAACAGAAATAATAAATGTACATGTTGTATTGACACAGCCCTAAACCTGTTAATTAGCAAACCTAAAAGTAACATCATTGAAAGTTTTGACCTCTCTGACACTTGCTACCAAGCCTTTACTTTATAATTGATTAAAAAAACATTAATAGAGAAAAACTGTTTGCTTCAAGTTAAGCTTTCCTTTTGCATTGGTTATACTAAAAGGTTCCATTAAACTATACTTAAAAAAAAATAGAGAAAGCTTTGAAAACAAACCCTTAAATTATACCAATTATGAGATACAAATAACTTTAAAATGATGACTTTTCATTAAGGAAGAAAAAAGTATATAGAGTTCACTATTGATGAGACACCAGAAAACAAAAACCTTTAGCTATCTTATTAAAATTTGAATAAGACAGTAATAGAAAAAGTTTATATCAACAGACTAGTCCAAATTATCTTTCAAGATAAATTACTGCCTCAAAATGGAAAGAAAAATCTCCAATTATATGTTGAAATAAGGGTTGCATAGTTTTAACTTAAAAATATTTAATTACTGTTCAGTAATATATTAGTACTCAGTTATTCCTATTAAATGATACAAGTATAGAAGACTAGAAAAGCTAAGTATATTTCTGTATATTATATGATTTTATAAACAAATACTTTGAAATTAGTCATACAATGCCAGAAATGGAATGGTAAAGAGTCTGGCTCACTTGAGATTTTGCCTTTCAAAAAGTATAACAGGGAGAACCAATTACAAAAGGAGAACAGTCACTTGCTTTCTATTATGATAAACGTTCTAGACATCTGGAGTTGAAATCTTTTGCTCATGCTAGAGAGTTGGTTCTTCTTTCCCTGCCCCATTCTGCACATTATCTAACAAAGTTCAATGGTGAATATGACTTTTCTTCCTTGCAAAGAATATGTGAAGTCCTTCTGTGCTGCCTAGACTCTCTGAAGTAAACCTTACAGTCTAGAAGCATTATAGGTCATGTATTATATTACAAACTTATGTATCTTACTAGTTCTGACAGCAACATCCTCAGATACAGGAGGCATAGTTCTTTTGCTGTTATCTAGTTGTTTTCTGGGTTCCCCCCCCTTTTTAAATTACACAACTGAAAATTTAAAACAAGGCGATGGAAAGGCATAAGACAATATGCATTGTGACCTATCTTAGTGCTCCATGAGTAAGAGCCTGCAAATGAATGGCCTTTAGGACTAGCCACTCCTCACAGAGATAATAGTTTTAAACCTGTCAATTTACCTGTCAATTTTGTACTTATAGGTAGATACAGTTCACCTAGTTTATGATCTCCTAAAGTTTGGGAAGAAATGGGTTTTATAATCCTAAACTGATTTATTATTCTGTCACTAAAACTACAATGAAATCAACGTGTGAAGTCCAAATTCCCCAAGCTTCTCCTGTTTTTAGTGCCCTGTCAGGTTATCAGTGGTTATTGTATAAGATTTACAGAACTTCTTAGCCCTGGACCTGGCCAGTGACTGTTTCCTTGGCATTGGTGGTCAACTCTTGAAGGTAGCAAATGTTTTTTGACTCAAGTGATTTTCCCAAGCCATTTCTCTTTTGTTCATTTCATCTTTTGCAACAAGCTTAGCAACAGTGCTAAATCAGGATTTATTAACGTCTTCTTGGACAAGCACCAGCAGGACCATGGAACATGCCATTTAGACACACCTCTCCAGCTTCTCTCTACAACCTGCATGTTGGTTTCATCCACTGTATGTAAAATGTGTATATTTTCGAAATAAATACATTTTTCAAAGTTGTGTTAAAATAAGGAAATAACAT